CACAGCAAAATGGTTGCTCACATCTGAGAAATCTGGTATAAACAAAGTCGGGATATCTGACTGTGGGAATCCCAGTCAAGCCCAATCCTGCCCACGCAGAGACCCAAGCACGCCTCAGCTCAAGCAGAAAGCATGGACACAGATGCTCATGGCAGCTGACGTGATTTAATGTTGGACTGCCAACTGAGAGTGTATGAGAATGCCAAGCCTCCCTGCCCCAATCTTGGCCATTTCAGTGGGTCGGCTGTAAGAGCTCACATCCATGCTGTTAGTTTCAATAACTTGCATTTGTATTGTGCCTTTCACATAGGATAATGTCTTGCAGAGCTTCACAATGGCAGGGTTAGGCACAGCACAAGGGAGAAAGGGAAATGACCATGGGAGCAGTTTCCCAACTGAAGGGGGATATATAGAGGCAACACCACCACTGTTGAAAAGGATACTGAGAAATGCAGCTTACATGTGTAGATGTATCTTTTACATACATTCTGATTTCCCTTACTTAGAAAGCTCTACTCTGTGCAATTCTAGGCTTGCTACTTGATGTACACAAACGGTACACTACCTGCAATATTAACTATTCATTCTACTAGAGTACACATTCCATTCCAGATAAGGAACATTTCCAAGTACAGGTGACATAGTTATGTGGAAGTCTGATTTGGATACTGTTAAACAATGGTGATGGGTTTCCATGTGCATCAGAGACAGCCTGGCCAAAAAAACACTATCTGACAAAGACAGGGATGCCCTCTACACTGTTTCAGAGCACATTCACCATTCCTTTGAGTGTTCTTCAAGTCCAACAACTGCACTTCTGAATATTTCTTTTCTCAATGTGCTTCAGTTCAAAGCCTCTTAAAAGGCAGAAGAATTTTCATGAGTTTAATTTCTGCTGCTTGTGCTATAAATTGACTGACGCTGTTAGATTTCCAGCATTTCATTTTCAGAATTCATTTCATTGTAACAAATTGGTTGTGGAACATTAAATCTTTGTTGAGTCAATGTATGAATGCCATCTAGTGGAGTTCATCAATAGTAGGGCAAAACAGAAATGAGAAATTTGTGTTACGTGATCCAAATCTGTACAACATAAAATATATGGTTTGTTCACAAGTATACATTGTGAAGTTTTCTTGCTTCTTCAGCCAGTTTTGTATGTGTATTCAATGTAAAGTGGAGAACCTATTTCCACTGGCTGGAGAGTAGCAACTCAGCGACATAGATACAACACTTACAGGGACAAAAGGAGAGCTTAGAAATTTTTTCCAGAGTTGTTGTGATGTGGAATGCCTGACAAGTAAGGTGGTAGACACAGGGTCAATTGTGGGTTTCAAGAGGGAAATAGACAGTTACATGAAAATTAGAGGCTTGAAGGGATAGGGCAGGGCAGTGGTTCTGAAAGAACAATTTTCTCTGAGAGCCAGTGCAGACTTGATGGATTGAATGGACTCCTTCTGTGCTCTAAATTTCTGAGCAATGAAGGAAAGCATAATGCAAACATTTTACCGAAGTGAACTCTAGCCGATTGCGCTTCACGCTCACCCAGCAATCTAGAACACCAGTTTTTCCAGAGTAGCCAATTTCACGATGTTAGGGCCATCAGACAACTGCAGTGTGGTCCAAACTCTCTTAAACATGTTTTTATTGGGATGAGTGAGTGAATGGATTGATTTGTGTTGGCAGGTCTGGTTCAGTCTGGTAAGCCAGGTCTCAATATACCCGACATTTGTGGATACACAAGCCCTGGCACAAAGTTTACTGTTTTGCATGAATATTGGTTTGACCAGAAGGATACATTGGCTTTTATGTACAAAAATTTTAGGAAACTTCTTTACACACAGTACACTTTTATTGTTACATTTCTGGATTTACAATAAGGCAACATTGTGTCCAAATCATCTGTAAAATTGAAAGATCACCCGAGACATTCATCACCCAATTTTAAAATCCTCATCATTAAACACCTCAATGCACTAACCACTTACAACCAATACAATTTCATGATTACATGGTGTGCACTCAATGGGACCGCATTGTAGATTTAGTCCAAGGGGGTGAATAGTAACGGGCTAAATGTTGAAAGTTTTCCTTTTAGTGAAATCAATAAAATTGTGGAAGTATGCGTTTTTCCAGGAGCAATCCAATCTGCAAATTGCATTCAGAAACAAAAAAATCCCAGGTTATGCTCTCTCCCTCCCCTGCCCTCCCCCAAAACACCACAATGCTTTATAGAATATGTAATCATGAATCTGGGCTATAAGTAAGATTCAATCTAGACAGCATCAGAAGGGCTCTGGGATGCCACTTGCGGCCATTCTATTATTTTAGGGAATAAGGCAGCCGGGTAAATAAGAGCTAAATAAAAACAACACAGAAAGGCAACAATCAAGTAGAAGAGGTAAGATTACAAAGGAGTGGCATGAAGCTTCTTTTTAAATACATAAAAACTCATTCTCAGTTAATGGAACTGAAGAGCCAATTATTCATTCCATTAATTAGACTGAGTGCAGCTGTCAGACTAATTCACTTACCAACATTGTTTCAATTAAAAAAACACACAAATTTAGTTGCAGATCAAATTTGACAAACACAAAAAAATTGGATTGATTTAAGTACAGCACAACTCCTTCTGACATGCTCACACTCGGTTTGTATAAGATTCGCCACTGTGTGGTCCCCTAATAGTCCTTTAATTTACAGTTTATTTACAATACTACTAACAAACAAGGCATTATGATTTCCCAATAAATAAGCATTAATCCTTTATTGAAATTATGAAATGATTAATGGATCACTGCAACCTGCTCTTTATTATTTGATACTAATATACAACACCCGTTAAAACTTGTGCCAGTGATTTAAAGTCCTGAATATTTTGGGACAAGAATGATTTTAATTCAAAATGTTGTACCTTTAAACATTAAATATCTGGCTAAGAAACATAGCTAACAATAATTTAGTATTTGGCAACACTAAAGGATACTTTATAACAAGTTTCTTTTTTTAAAAGTACATATAAATATATACTTGGGATTCAAATACAGGCTGGACAAAGTAAACTTTTGTTCTCACTAAGGGCCATTACAGTTTGCAAGTAAAATTGAAGACAATCTGAAGCCATTTACAAGGTAGGACAGCAATTGTACATTAGACTGGAAGAGCGAATTCAAAAAGAAATCTGCTTCCATAAGACTTAATAAAACCTAACAACTTTGAATACGGTCTTTTTCCACAAGTAAAATAATATTCAATTACATGATTAGTAACTCCCTACTTAATCCAATCTACTGTAATTGCTGAGGTAGACCCAGAGTATTAGTACTTCTATAAAAAACAGGACAATAGCCAATTTAATCAGTCACTGTAATTCAAATGTGTTCCTCCAACCAAACCCAGTAAATTACTATTTATGTTTTAGTCTCGTGGCAATACTGTTACTTGCTTAAATGAAGATAACGGCAAAACCCATTCTATTGTCACAATAAATCAATATGGCATCATGAAAGTTCCAAACTGTAGTGTAAAACGTCTACCAAACTAGCTTTAAACTGTAGTAAATAGTGAATACTATCATCGCACAGTCAATAATCTACATCTCAAGTACAAGTAACTGAAAACTATAAATCCATAATTTTTTTTACACAAAATAATGAAGGCAAACAAAAAAACTGCTGCAATAGTGCAATCGTGAGTGGACAAACCGTGCTTGAGTGATTTTTTTTATAATTTCATATGTTTAAAGGCAAAGGTGGAACATTTATTTCAATATGTACCCATGAAGATCAATGTTTGCAATACAAGATTTTAAAAAAGAGCTTGCACAGAAGTTATGTCAATACATCCCACCTACATTGCTGTCCAACTGCTATAAAACCTGGAGATAACCGTGAAACCAATGAAAAAATGTAGTGAAAAAGAAGGAATCTAGCGGGAGGATGGATATGCAGCTTTGCTAAATTTTTACGTCTCACCTGTAACATAGTACTGTAATTTGTTTAAAGCAGAATTGGTGATATGGATTAATAAGTCATGTTCAATATTTGCCCAACAATATATGCATAGACACTTCATCATTTGGTGAATTAGCAAATGATATCAAGCTGCAGATTCCAAACCACAATAAGACTTTAAAAATACTCCTAAACTATTCAAATGGTTTCACTAAGACCCAACATATTGCCAAATGTGCATCCACTTCCAAATCTGTTGAAGAACTATTTGGTACAGTAGATGAAAGAACAGAATGGCTTAATGACCCTTGAATCCTTCATTTCCTTTGAGGGGAGAAATTAAGAAGAACAGGAAAGAGCCTACAGACTACAAAGGAGCTCAGAAATTCATCACTTGGAGAATTAATATCTTTGAACCTACATCTCAACAAGTCCCAAACAATACATCAGAATACTAGTGTCTGAGGCAGTGTAGATGTGGGAATTCAATTGGAATGACATCAAGTATGCATTTGTATATATTGTGAGGTTATGTTCATACAGTCATTCAGATGACTCATAAGAGATTAACAATGAACTATCTTTTTGATGAAGCAACCACACCACAAGCAGAGGGAAATAAAACAAATGCCAAAGCAAGAAGGGCAAAATGGTCTACGCAGTTCTATACATCAAACTCATTTTAACTTTGTTGTTCTTATTCCAATAGTAGTAGCACTTTCAAAACACAATTGTACATCTGGAAATTTATTAGAACTACCAACTCATTTAGAATACTAGTCCTAACCTGAAACTGCAGTCTTTGCAATGTGTAGCTATTTTGCAAGTTTTTTCTAAATAAAGCAGATATATAGCTTTTAAATCATCTTAACAGTAGTCAATGGATTAAACGTATAGCAAATGTAAGTTTGATCATGTATTTTGAAGCAAACCTTCTGTGTGCTCTCGTTAAGAAGGTTGAGCAACTTGTCCCACTTTAATGTTAATGGAGCAATCTCAGTACTTACATATAGTCAATTTACTTTATAGTATATTCTGTGAAGCGCTTTAAGATGTTTCGAAGACATGATAAGGCGCTATATCAAATGCAAGGATCACTGATTATTACTTATGATGCAGTGTACAGCTAAAACTCCTTTACAAAGCACCTTAGATGCAATTACCTAGATATATCATACTGCTAATTGTTTTCACTCCTCCTGCCTACTCAGCTACGAGTACAGCTGCAAAAGAAACTGTCTCACTCTAGAATATAATTTGCACACAGGAAACAAAACCATGCATAGAGCCAAAGGTCAAAATGTACGCAACACCAGGAATGAATGAAATGTTTTCGCAGTTAGTTGTTTTATATTCAAGAATGTTAAGTGGTACAGGTGGGACAAAATTATCTAGAATGTGGTGAATTTGATATGTTTAGACCAGGATAAAGATTTCCCCTTTAATATGGAACAAAGTTGTTCCATCCACAAGTGCTCTCCTCATTTCTGCGTTATAGCTACAGTACCAAGGCATAAATTCTTTCAGTTTACCCTTTACTGACACAGTAAAATACCCTTATGTATACAGAATTTCTTTAATAATGGGCACTAGCATCATGTCGGACAGAAGACAAAGAGCAACTAACCTATTCTGGGATTATCATTCACACACAACTACATCTACTCAATTCACTCTAAATAGGATATTAATATTGAATACACAAAATCCATGTCACAAACACTATCAGAATGTGGCCATTGGGGGAGGGGGGAGAAAGAAGGGGTTCAGTTATAACTGTCGCCTGGGACTGTTAAGGCTCAGGGACACCAAAATCCAAACTGTTGCAAGCTCATTATGATTTCCTAGTCAGACATTGTGAATGCAGTTATAGTGCAATCAGTTTGATGTCAGACATTGTGAATGCAGTTATATTGCAGTCAGTTTGATGGTGCAGTGCACCACATAGGGCATAAATTATTCTACCCATTTTTTCACCTAGCAGGTGACCCATTTCATTCATCCCAGACAGGTGCATGGGAGAGGCAATTTTGTAATTAATCAAATACCTCCCAGGATCCAGTTACACAACAACACTGAGAGCAGATTGCCTCTTCTCCTCCCCCAGATCAGGATATATACATATCTAAATCAAAACTGAAAACCTATATTAAAACATTTTGATTAAATTCCCTTTATAGTTAATCTCAGTTTCAGTGCTCACATTTTCTATCTCCATGAGAAGGGGGGAGATCCAATATAAAACAGTGAACTTTAAAGCAATATTTTCTGAGGATTAAATCATTTTTACTGAATTACAGACCTTTGGACCTATCCTTTCAAACCCGAATTTCAGAGGCTCCATGTTTAAAATGGACATGTGTTTCCCCATGCTAACTGGTCTTACAGCTGTGAGAAACATCCTTGCTACAATAAGGGCTCCAGTGCCATTTCCTGGAACCAAGACTGATTCAGGCCATCTGCCTCGGTTGGCTTGTTGTAGGTAGTCAAACTGGGATGTAATTTGGCCACAGTAAACCAGCGTTTTCATGCTGAATTTGCTCCATTTCAAGCACACATTTGGTGAAAAAAGTTCTTCCTATAACTAGGGCAATTAGCAGCTAATTTGTTTGGGCCTACAACACCAGAAACGTTCCAACAGTATTGTTGCACAATTAAATAAGTTTCACATGATTATATACTAAATCAAGTGCATCTTATGCAATAACTCATTTTAGATTTTTGTGTCTGCAAAGCGCAATTATGACAGATACATTTACAGTCAAGCCAAATGGGCTGAGTTAAAGCTTGCAACGCCTTACTTCTGGGGCGCGGGCTGTCCAGAACCTGATATTTCAGGGCAGTCAGTCCACAGCAATAGGTCAAACTTATTGTGCAAGATCTAATGAATCAATATATATATACTATCGTACAAATTTTTGCAATAGTGCAACTTAAGTGGTTTAGATCAAGAATATCACAACTCCTTAGAATGGAATTTCTGAAGTACTACATTTAGTATCAATGTGTTTAATGACTACTTGAGTTAAGTTAAGGTAATGAGAACCAAATCCAATCTGCAGTGCAACACCAGACCTCTGGCAACAAATCAAATGATCCAATGCCAACCGACTGGCTAGGTGAAAGCTGTGCAACTCTATTCTACTGAATACTTAATTATCAGGCTCTTCACGACTTCAGCAAACATTTCTCCTGTGATAAACACATCATTCAATTTGTAATTCGGACCTAGCAGGTCATCTTGGCCATTCCAAGCTCCAAGCTGACTATCGTGGGCTCAGCTTTAGAGAAAGCAGCTTTGAGTTCTTTGCAGCCCTCTCCAGGGTTGGTACCACTCTCTTCTGTTCTAATCAGCTTCTTTTGCACAGTTGGCTGCTGCCCCTCACGAGACACATTCTCAGCTGCCTTAAGCGCCTGTGATAATCGGCTCACGGGATGAAAAGATTCCTTGGGGATATCATGGATCGTCTCTGGTTCTTGACCTAGTTTTATTATTTTCTACAAACAGAAAGAAAGAGTTAATGACAAATAGCATTTTTTCAAAGCTTAAATGACATTACTAATATAGATTTAACAAATTCAACTTTAACACTTAAAATGTACAACTGCCAAGCACTAAGATATGTTTTTCTGTTACTTTTGCGTGCGTGAGAATTTAAGAACAAAATTCTGATACAACTCGCCTCTCTCAGTTTTTGGATTTCTTTCTCCAGTTGGTTATTCTGTTCACTGAGAGAACACACCAGATTGAGTCTTGATTGTCTCGGATGCATTGCATGGTCAAACTGATGATACATACTGCGCCAAAACCTGGAATGACAATTTTTTATTTAAGAATCAGAGCAACTAAAGTAGGCACATGCTGTATATAAGAGTCCTACAATCACAGTAAAATGCTTAAACTCACTTAAAGTTGAAAGAGACGCCGCTTGGTTCCAGTATTTCTTGAGTGCAGGAAAGATTAGAATCATAGAGAGGATTCAGATACTTGTGTTGATTTTCCAAAAGGTATGGCCACAGGGAGTGGGTCTTTTGTTTAATACTGCCAGCAAGAAAATATTTTAAAATACATACATTAGGTTTGAACTTGAATTAGGCCAACATTATTTTATTCATCAATGTAAATCTCTAAGTCATCCTCTCATCTATTCAACTCTGCAACGGTAAAGATTCTGATCAGCTTCAAACAATATATCGCTAGTATTTGGTTTTAAGACCAATATTCAGATAAATTAGAAGGGGTCGGGAACAAAGGCAATCTAATCATCTGCTTATACGGTATCACAATGAAGTGGTCTCCTCCACAATGATGCTCATTTTCCATGTCAATGTCATATTGAATTTTGTGGCAACTATTGAATTTTCACAACTATGGCAACTATTGAAAACGCAATTTTACTGCTCCAGCATCACTTAGGTGCATTTAGCAATGTGCTTACACAGCCACTGTCAGCACCACCAGCAACAGGCACCAAAGCTCCCATATAACAACAAATTACATGTGTAAAGCACCTTTCATATCAGGACATCCGAAGGCGCTAGACAGTCGGATTTTGACCCGGGCTAGGGGCTGGGATCAGGAGGGCAGGCGGGTTGGGGCTGGGAGGGTGACAAAAGGCACGGTTGAAGAGGAGGTTCTTGAGACGTTCCTTGAAGGAGGCAAGGGTAGGGGCGAGGTGAAGGATCTGTGGGATGGAGTTCCAAAGGGTGGAAGCAGAGATACCAATGAAGATAATACAACTGGATTATTTTGGAGGTGCTGTTGATTTTCAGAAGTTTTGCAGCCTTATGGTATTAATATCACTACTGTATTTTTAATTCATGATTTGAATGGAATAAAATACCATTCCCACTCTTTACAACAGGTTAATTTAAGATTTATCCCCCAGTTGATCTACAAGTTTAAAAAAATAAGAATTTCTTTCTTTACCAAATCTCTTGCCAAATACTTAACTTGCAATAATTCTTACCTCATTTCTTCCCGTTCTTTTTGGCAGTTTCCAATGAAGTTCCCGAACTGACAGGAATGAACGTGCTCATGGATCTCAAGTAAATAAACTTCACTATACTCAAAAGCACGAGGAAACTGTTCAGTCAGATGCCAAACGCATTCGATAAATTGCGTAAACACAGGTGATATTTCTTTGGGGTCCCCATCTAGCTGACCACATCTAAATAGCAGGTAGGAACAAAATATTTAGAAATCTGTTTTTATTCCTTATTAGATATTTACATGAGATATAATAATGCTCACAGTTAATATATTGCCTTATCACATCTTCACAAAGTCTCAAAATACAGGATTTTATTGTAAAGTGTATTTGTAGGAAAATGTGGCAGTCATTTTGTGCAAATTAACATCCCATAAACAGCCATAAAATTAATGACCAATTTTATCTGGAGGATTGTTTTGGCTGCTGAGGCCAGATACTCTATTTGAGAAACGTCCGCGGACCACATAAGCAATATTTCTAGAAATATAACATTGGCACAGAACCGTTTTCATGTTGGAAGGACATCTCAAAGTGCTTGACACTGCTGACTGGACACCTGAACTAGGGGTGGGAACTGAGGGAGGTGGGGAGGGGAAGCCATGACCAAAAGCATGGTCAAAGTGTTAGGTCTTGACGTGCCTTGATAGAGGAGAGGGAGGGAGCAAGTCGGAAGGGCTCCAGTAATGGAACTCCAGAGAGCGGGGTGCAAAATGGCGATTATCGGATTATCAGGTCATAATCAGTATCATTTCCTTAGTGCCTAATAGTGACATCACCAGTCATAAATGGGATTGTGCCCCCTGGCTGGAAACTTATGGAGTCACAACTATTGTATTATAATGGAGTTCTATTGAAGTATTGCTATTAATGAGAACAGTCTGAAGATTCAACTACATAGCCACCATGCTGGACAATGCAGCAAGATTGCATTGGAACATGCACAAAACTTCCGCACAAAGTTTTCAAAGAATGTTTTCAATTCTTCATTAAAACATATGGCTCCTTAAAACTCATTTGGTCAATTCTCCATTTAAATCAGAAGCAAATCCATTGCCAAAACAGGTTTGCAATTGTTTCAATTTGCAATATTCGATTTATAAAAAAAATTCTCCTGGGAAGCAACATTCACTATACCTGTCAGTAAACTTGTGGCCAAATGAAATCCAGTCTTTTTCTATCAAAACCTTGCAATAGAAAAGAAGGCATACATGTTAGTACCAAAACAACAATAGGAACATACTTTGTGTAATACTTAAAACTACAATTTTCAACCTTTGGTATAAGATATACGTATGACTGAATGAGTGATGTATTTAGCCTGAAATTACTCTCAAATTAAATCCATAGTAAAGATCAGATAATTGATGGATCTAACCTACAGGTCATTGATAGGAAAAGGTGAGTTTTAAAATGAATCTAATTTCTATAAGCATATTTACAGTAGAATAGAATGTTACCATCTTCCAGTAAGATAGAATGTATTGTGTGATCCACTTTCCAAGGCCAATATCAGTCTGAAACAATACTGGTCTGAGCTCAGCTCTGAAAACTTGACTGTACAGCCAGCATTTTAGGGCACTGAAACAAGATTGTATTGGAAGACGCGCAAAAGTTTTCAAAGAATGTTTCCAATTCTTAATTGAAAATGTATGGCCCTTACGATTCAGTTGGTCAATGTTCCATTTAAATCTAAAGCTCCATTTACTCGTAAATCTCCATTAAATCTTAAATCCCCCACCTCCAGATACAAATCACTCAACCTCTTGAAGTCCCTCTATATACAGGATATGCTATAAAGTGTACTGACTGTCTATTTACTGGGTAAAATGCGGGTAGCTATTTGTGCACAACAGTGTCCTACAATAGTCTGGATTAAATGACCATTCATTTTTTTGTAGGGGGATAATTACCCCTGGAAAAACAATCATTTTAATGTCTGTCAAGTCCATACATGCTCATTGATGTCACGCATGTGTCAGATTTTTGCAGTACTGGAATTCTATACTTAGTGGGCATGGGTACAGAATAAACCTTGGAGTAAATACTGATGTTATCTACCTTTCTTATTCATCCCAGGTACTAGATTTTTAAAAAGTAGAATTAAGTACATATTGAGTTGGACTTATAATGAAACTGGAAGGTTTTTATCTTTACACAGGCTAGCATTCTTACCATAAATCCTTTCATTGTCCTATAGTACGGATCCAACAGCAGAGAACCCAAGGAACACACTTGTGCTGTACGATCCCAACCATCAGAGCAATGCACCAAGACACTGGCACCTTCTTGTCCCACTGCCTGTTTAAAAATGCAGAACATAACACGTCATTGTTCTCAACAAGATAATTTTTCAAAAACAATCTTAAGAATAACAAAGAATAATCTCCCAATTAAAAAAGAGTGCAATTGTATCCGTACTTCAAAGGTACTGAAAATGCAATCATGTACTATAAATATTGGTACTACCTATTCTGATCTAATACCAACATTATCCATTAACCTTTCTTTTATTAACTGAATGAGTAAACTAGCTATCTAACAACTATGGCTGTGGTTAGAGATAGTTTATTGGTGCTTTGATCCAATGGAGATTACGTTATCTAAGTGATTATACATGGACCATGGTTCCTGTATTTGTATACTTATTCCTACAGCAATATCCTAACAAACAAAAGCTTTCCATCATTTAATGGAAATAAAAAAATGATCAAGGTATAAATGGTCGGTAGCCCCAATAGCATAGTGTATAGAGCTACGGCATTCAGACCAGGAGCTCGGTGGTTTGAATCCCGGTCTATAGAATTGGGGGCTGCAGAGCGGAGGTTAAATTAGCCCTGGCTTTCCCCAAATTAGGGGTTAAAAGCCATTTGGGTTTACTGGTCCCTCTTCAGCTCCCTCTACTGGAAGTGTGCATATGTGACAGCTGAGTGAAGTGATAGGCTTGCGTGTGAAGGCCTTATAGTCAAGGTTCACATATTAAATTGTGTGACGTGCCAGAAGTCAAATAGGACCCATATGTCTCACCTCAATATGAAGAGGCTGAGGACCAGGAGCCTCTGCCTAATACAGTATTTGGAAAATTATTTTTGTTTTAAAAGAGAAAAAAAGATATAAAATGTATTTTGAATTCAAATGTACTTTTGCAAGAAGAGATGCAGCGTCCAACACAGCTCTTATGTGGCGAAGCCATCCGGAACTCTCCAAGCCACAGAGAAAGTCGTTGACAGATAAAGCTTTGGATCCACACACTGAAAACACACATCCATATTGAGATAGTTCAGAATTAATGTACTGATGGTCATTACAGGTACACTTTATGTCCCCTTTCTCCCCCCCCACCACTAACATCCATATATTTAACATTTTATCTTCCTTCTACTGGGCTACATTTAAAAAGGTACTGGTGATCTTCAAGGGGACATTAAGACCAATTGTAGCAACTAATGCCCGGAACAGACTAAGAACTATACCCCATTAAACATAAGTTCAAGGGAAAGACTGATAAATTCCTCTAGTTCTGAAAAGCTTTGATGTTGCGCTATAATAATGTAACACTACCAACCTTCCACAACTTTCTGTAAGCTAGCTCTCATTACATGGATGTTTTCAATCCCAACAAACTGGAACCTAATATTGGAATAATTATCTTCATTTTCATATCCTTTGCCGGCAGCTCGGTTTGCCATGGCATTTAGCTGAAAAAAAATGTAAATAGGTTGGGTTATGTCATTAAAAAGGTAATTTTTTTTTTAAGCTGTACTTCACCAAATCTAGAAGATGGTTTAGGAGCAACTTCTTTATGAAGAAGGTGATGAGAATGTGGAACTCACTTCCACAAACTATGTTTAAAGAGAAAAGCAAGAACGTATTTAATAATAATCCTTGCATTGATATAGTGCCTTTCATGTTAAGAGGCCATCCTAAAGCTTTACAGCAGTTATTGTGGAGTAATAGTGGATTTGTAGGTGAACGCGGCAGCTCAATTGTGCACAGCAATGCCCCACCAACAGATATTAAACAAATGACCAATTTTATTTGAGAGATTGTTGGCCACGAAACTGGGAGAAATTCCCTTCTTTTTTCAAATGACAACAAAAACAACTTGAACTTGTATTGCACCCTCCACACAGGGTAGCGTCGCATGCCATGGGATCTTTAACATTCACCTAAACCTCGGTTTAATGTCTCATCCAAAGGACAGTACCTCCAACAGTGAAGCACCCCACCAGCACTGCATTGGAGTGAAACTTAGGCTACGAGAGTTCAAGTCCCAGCATCGGGCTTGAACCTATAACCTTCTGACTCAAGAGGTGATGGTGCTATGAACTGAGCCAGGCTGAGACCAATTGATTTGAGGAAATGGATTGCATTCATGTGGGAGGAGGAAATGAGGAGTATGGGCGTGGGGGTGAAGGCACATATGGAGCATAAACACCAGCACAGAGAAGTTGGGATGAATGGTCTGTTTCCTTGCTGTATCATAGGTAATTTATTACCTATAATGATAGGTTTGTGGCCATTTGTGGGACATTCCTGTGCACAAACTGGCTGCCCCGTTCACCCACAAAATACAATCAATCCATTTGCAGTATATCTTGTGAAGTGCTTTGAGACGTCTCGATGTGATAAAGCACTATACCAAATGCAATGATTATTATTAAAATCTCTCATAAATTGCAGATGTCGTAAAATGACATAAAGACAGACTTAAGATTTTCACATACTTTTGGCCTGGTATCCATGACATACATGAAGCGACTGTTGGGATTGGCTTTACTTATAGCTTGCAGCATGTGCTCATCTTCCAGACATCTGGCACTAAAGCCCGAAAGCGGCTGACTACATCTACATATGGCTGCCTGAAATAAAACAAAGGTTATTGAAGACAAGAAGCGCCTGTGTAAGCTCAAGCAGTACCTTAGCAACAACAACTTGCATTTATATAGTGCTCTTCACGCTGGGTGGCATCTTGGTGCGCTTTATCAATTAGCAGCATCAATGAACTCAATTTTTAGTTAAATTACCATGAGAAATACAGCTCGTGGCTGATACAACTCACAGGAGGAAACAATAACACCGCTACCCATTTTTCTCCAAACACTTACAATTTAATTTCTGAAAATATTTATACAACCCTCCTCCCCCCCACAACAACAAGATTCCATTTATAGAGCACCTTTCACGTCGGGAGGACATCCCAAGGCGCACACACACACTAGGCATTTATATTTTAAAAATCTGTACGTACATTCTTAGTCTTAATGACTGGTTATACCTGGTTTTGTTGAAAAAAATAAGACAAGGTCGGGAATCTTCCTTTGCTCCTGAACTTTGAACTGCCAACAATAATGGGTTTGCTGGCACTTATGGGAACATATAGATCTGTTGGGTATGTATCACAAATCTTGTGAGGAGAAAGAAAAGTATTATCAGACTTGTGAAGAGCTACATTAATAAAGAAAATCAATAGAACTTTTTTAAAAAACTTGGTCACTTCCAAATACAGACTTTATGTTGTAATATGAAACATTTTTCCAATTTACATTCATAAAAAGAAAGCATTTCGAGCAATAAATTCAATTCAAGTTCCTATTACGCCTTTTTGAATAATATAGATTAAACAGCAAATCAATAGTGGATCTCAACACCAAGGCCCCTTCTTTAAAAAAGTCAAAGAATTATTGAAACAAATTGCAACAGGTTTGCAATATCTTGTAGGAGGAAGACCGGAAAAAAAAGAAATATAGGGTGATCAAAAAGTCATGATACCATTACAATGTCCAATAAGTTGGTGATGACTGTTGCAGTAGTCAATTGGGGAAACTTAAAACAACAAAATTACATTTGTATAGCGCCTTTCACATTGGGAGGACATCCTAAGGGGCTGGACAATCAGTGCTTCAGACCAAGCTGGGGGTCGGGATTGGAGAGGGCGGAGGGTGAGTGGGAAGGAGGATGAACGAAGGCACGGTTGAGAGGAGGGTCTTGAGACGGATCTTGAAAAGAGGCAAGTGAGGGGGCACTTATGGGGAGGGACTGTGGGATGGAGTTCCAGAGGGTGGCGGAAGAAGGCCCACCCGCCAATGGTGATGTGGGCGAGGCAGGGGACGTATAGCAGGCTGGAGCTCGCTGAGCAGTGGGAGCGGGTTGGTAGGGGGTTAGGGGGTCACAGAGGTTGGGGGAGGACTTTGAAGGTGAGGATCAAGATCTTGAATTGTATTCTCTGTGTGATGGGAAGCCAGTGGAGTTTGGGCAATGATGGGGGTGATAGGTCATAGAGCCTGGTGTGGGAGAGGACCTGGGCTTCAGAGTTCTGGATGATCTGCAGCCTATGGAGGGAGGAGTTGGGGAGGCCGACAAGCAGGGATTTTGTGTAGTCAAGCCTGGATGTTATGAATGCGTGTGTGAGGGTTTCTACGGCCTGTGGTGTGAGACAGTGGCAGAGCCGGGAGATGTTGTAGAAAGTTAGCTCTCATCCAGGACTTGATATCTGACAGACATTCTGTTAGGACAGCAGTGGCCCTGGAGTCGAGGGTGGAGACAGAGAGATAGAATTGAGAGTTGATCCCATGTTTGCGGATGATGTCACTAAGTGGGAGCACATAGATGTTGAAGAGGAAGGGACCAAGGACAGAGCCCTGAGGAAAGCCGCGCGAGACGGTGTGGGGGCTAGAGGAGAAGCCGTTTGTGGAGATGAAGTGGAGGTGGTGTGAGAGATAAGATCTGAACCATTCAAGAACAGAACCATTAGATAAAAGGGAATTAGGTAAACACATGCTAATATAATGAGTTGAATAGTTTTTTTTAAAACTGTGTTTCATTAAGTTAGTAAAATGCTCCATCCAGTGGCACAAGTGAGAACTGCGAACGAGATTCTCAAACGACAGGAAAAAGTTAGATTTGAACTCACACTCTGAATCACTTCACAACTCAGATTTGAGAGAAATATAAATTTTTGCTTCTGCATTGTAAGTTTCAGGACAAAATCTACTCTTCCCCATCCCCAACCCCACAAAGCAATGCGTTTAAATGGACTTACTGTACGTTTAGAGTAAATTGATTCATCCTCCAATTCTACTCTTTCCTCACTCTCAGAGATTGTAGTTCCCAGATACTTGGCTCAATTAGGAATTTGCCAGAGATAAGGCTGAACTCTATAACTATGTGGTGCCTCACATTTCCAGGTCAGAACACATTTGGACCTCACAGACTCTCGTACCATTGTCTGAGGAAATTATTATTCAGTGATATTCAATGATAAATGAAGCATGACGCCACCTGGAGAAATGCACCATTTTGTTGATCCTCTTTTAAAGAAAAACTTTAGCAATTCAATGGAATAAACCCATAATATACAAAACCATGCAAGGTCCAACGTCTCTCGGATAGTTTGATTCGTATTATTTTTTTTTGCGTGAAGACAACGCAAATGCTTTAGTGAGTGAGTTATAGGTAATTCATTACAAGTCATTCCCTGCAGATCAATCTCAGCTGTGCTACTGAAGGGGAAGAAATTTAGGGAAGAAGGTTAAAGTGCAGAGCAAAAGCTTGACAACTCTGAGTGAATACAATAGGAGAGGAATAGAGTATCATTGCAGCCATGGTTGTGCACTCTGGAAAAACTAAAAAAAAACATTTTTGGCCGATGCTTGAGAACATTTCCTGGCTACTCTCTTATCTGCTTGGCATAAAGCACCAGCAGATATTTAAAACATTTAAATGCCCATAGAAGTGTTGTAGGCACTAATCAGAGAGCAGTAAATCAAGCATCTGCATACAATTACAGCACTATTGCCCCTTTCCCGCATGTTATATTCATTTCACCTAAACATATTTAGTGAATATCACATTTGGAGAACAAATTAATGCCCGAATAAATGTTAGATGAGCATTCCCTGTTAAGGCACCTGTTAACAGTACATAATAAAATAACTCCCACATCCTCTTACCTTGTAGTTTCGGTTTACATCAGTTAATTGCCAGATGTTATTTGGAACTCCCATACGTTGATATTCATCATTTAGGTTTATAAGATTCCAACCCATTACCCTTTTTTGTTCAGTTTGCTTAGGGTTGTATGAAAATGCACACAGGTCATCAAAACTCACTGAAATTAAAGAATGTATTACAAGCATGTCTGAAATCTTTATCCGCACTTTGGGAAATAAGACTAAAATCAATCGCTACTTTTGGAGCCCCTGTACTTTACTCAAAAAACAAAGTACCAAATCATGCATAAAGATAATGAAATCATATATTTGTATGCCTCATACAAATAGAAAATTGACACACTATGAACACTCATACACGTACGCATACGCACAGAACGTAACAAAACTGGCAATGAATGTTGTGGAAAAACAATAGTTTATATCATTTTGCAAAACTGGATCTGACTTTCTAATTGTAACTTTCAATTTGTGAATTGCCACATTCGAAGAATGGTAAATTACAATCCAACAAAAACCGCCTGTGAGCAAAGCACTGAGGGAAACTGAATGGCATTTTGCTCACTGGCCAGTTTTCAAACTTTGCTTGGAATCTGCCACCGTCTGATTCTAAATCTTGCCACAATCAAAATAGATTATAATGAGCAATTGAAATCCAGGAAAAACATACTTCGATTCCTTTAAGATACGAAAACAACAATTTACATAGCACATTTCAGGTTGGGAGAATGTCTCAAGGGACTTCACTTAGCTGACAGAGAACCCAAGCCGGAGGGAAGGGTGGCAGAGTGAGAGAGAGAGAGAGAGAGAGAGAGAGAGAGAGAAAGAAGAAAAGATCGCACTAGCCCTCCGCTGATGGCTTCAGTCTGATTTACATGTAAAACTTTCTATGGCAACATCAACCTCTTTTGCTGGTAACATGAGTTTCCGAGACTGCCCCATCTCTAAAACAAACCTAATGCCAAACACATGATAAGAATCTTACAAAATTCTGTTAATATCTCAGCAGTCATTTTTGAAGAACTAAGTTAATGATTACAACACCTCGCATTCATATAGTGACTTTCATGTAGGATAATGTTTCAAAGTGCTTTACAGAGATGAAGGGGAAGCTTGAGCAAATGGAAGTAAGGGAGGTGGGGGGCAGGGAGGTTGGATGTTGATAACAAAAGGCAATGTTGAAGAGTCTTTTAAATGGGATTTGAAAGCAGACGAATAGGGTGAAAGGAGGTTAATGTTAGAAAACCTTCCCAAAGAGCAGGGGCATAGTGACTGAAAGAACATAATTTCCCCCCCAACCTTTCTAACAAAATTGCCTCAATCATTTCATCCTTCTTTTAAAACATACAAAAATACATATTTGTATATACCTGGTCGTGAGAGCTTGAGCAGAGAGTTGTAGATGTCATGACAGTCCCTTTCTCTTGGAATGATGAAGTGAACAACCCTAAAATTCTTGCACTGGATGGCCAGAGGACATCCAACTGTAGTTAGAGAAAGCTTTTCCACTACAGCAATATGGTGATGAATTATCTGGAAGGATGAGGACAGGAATTAAATGTAGGCAAAATAAAACAAGTATAAATTCTGCAACACTACAAAAAATAATTGTATTTTCTTCCTTTTTGGGGGGTAGGGAAAAGGAGAAAAACATTTAAATAATCAGAACTTGTGTTTTGTAGCTACAGAATTATGATGCATTTCCCAGCCAATTTCTTCCCTCCCCTTTTCCTAAAGACCGAATAATTTCATTTCCCCTTTTACTGGGTTAATTAACAAAAAGCAATACAGAAATAGTGTGATCTCTTCTACAACACATCTGCTCTTTCTTTTTAAGTATATGACTTTGTTCATGTAAATGTAATGACTGCTGTGAACTTCAGTGGATCTTAAAGCAATACACTGAACCAAGTATTTATAACCAAACCATAAATATACACAATATAAATTAAACTACGGTAATCAAGTTCAGCTTAATAAAGTAGCTTGCTACAAAATCAACATGCAGAACATCATTTAGATCTCAAACATACATTAGCTCCCAGTTCAGAATATAGATTACATTCTTATGAATCTTGACAATGTTTACTTAATGACAAGTAAGCACAGTCAGTTTAAAAGAAATTGGGAGTGTCCAATGTTATTTCCTGTCATTAGCCAAGACCAGGCTACTCTTTCTGCCATTGATCTACTTTTACTGCTCAGTTTGAACTGTTTATAAGTGATGACTGAAGAACCTTTTTAATAACGTTTCTACTTTCACGAAAATGTTTCTCAAGGGCAATACAATAGGTTGCAACAGCAATGCTTTGTCATACAGCTGACGAAAAAAAATGTGTTAACTACTGAAGGATTTCAACACTACTTCAAAACCATATGCTTCAAAACATGTAGGAGATACATATTTTGTGCTCAAGTCCAATGGCTCACATAACTATACTTTTTAATTTTCAGCATTGGAAATTGATTTTTTTTGCAAAAAGGAACAGTATTTAAGAGCTCAAAAAATTCAAGAAATCATATAAGTAGTTAAACCATGTATCAAGCAACACAATCACAAATGAACTGCTCAGACGATGGACCTACCCAAATTTCCTTTGGATTTTCCTTATCCAATTCCCTATATATTAGATGTGTTGCAGTCAAATACAATGTTCCAGTAATTGACTTGTTACTACTGAAACGGTCCAGCAATTTCACCTGATTCACCTGTTTTTTTTAAAAAGAAAAAGAAAATATATTTAAAAGAAGAAAATACATTTGAAAAAGAACATGAAGCTAAAAAATCTACCACAAAATTCATTTTTCAAATCAATCATGGAAGGTATAGTATGGGATAAGGATATGCAATATAGTTTTAGTGTTATGAATCCCACCGTAACTGAAACAAAGAAAGAACTGGAAGCAGCAACTTAGCAAGTAAAAATATCTCAAATTACTTCAGTTGTGATTTTTAGGAAAACAGCCATCTGTCAGCAAAATCACACAAATAGCTTTGAAATAAATGACTATATCAATCTGGAGTATCTTTTAAATAATGTCACGTTAACATTCATTTTCATCTGAACAGTGAGACTTAACAAGTTTAATATTTAATCTGAATCCAATAATGTAACACCAATTCTGACTGTCAACCAATGATTACTGTATCAGAGTGTATACTGACTGTATTACTAACTGAACAACATTGATACCAAGCTATTCATAAGAAATATTTTTTAAAAAAAGTTAGCCTTACACAATACAATTTACATAGCGCCTTTTTAACATCGGGAAGACGTCTCAAAGCGATTGTCAATATCTTCTCCTCTTATCTAATTTATTTAACATTTTTTTTTAAAATTGTAATTGCCACAAAATCTGGTTCATGGGCACATACATGCTTTAAACAGGTTGCATAAGATTGCAATTGTACTGGCACATCGGCAAACCCATGCACCAGTATGACTGTAATCTTATCCAACCTGTTTTGATAGGTCAAAGCCATCCGCATGAAGCTAAAATTCATTGTCTCTTGAGACTCTTTCCTTATGAGGAGCTAGCTACCTTAAACAGGTAAATAAGTCAACCCAAGATACACGCAAACACCTACTAACACTAATTAATACAACAACAACTTGCATTTCTATAACCCCCTTCATGCAGGGTAGCATCCTGGAGCGCTTGAGGGTGACTGAGTCTGACACCTAGCCAGAGGAAGGGGGTAGGTGATTGTAAGCACGATCAAAAAGTAAGGTCTTTAGGTGGGATTTGAACGTGGGGAGGGAGGAAGGCGGAGCAACTGAGGGAGAGTGTTCCAGAATTTCAAAGCATGGTGGCTGCAGACATGGCCACCGATGGTGGAACGGAGGGCATGAGGGACCGACAGGCCAGAGCCAGCCGAGCGGAGGCTGCGAGTGGTGGAGTGGGGGGACAAGCAGATCGGATAGGTAGGGAGGTGCAAGGGCATGAAGGGATTTGAAAGAGAATTAGAAAGATGCACAAAATAGGCCATTCAGCCCAAGTCCATGCCAATGTTTATCCGCCACACAGGCCCTCATCTCTTCCATTTCCCTCATCCCTCTATTCTCTAATGTATGCATCAAGTTCACAGGTTCCAGCAGCGAGTTTCATAATCTCCTCATACTTTGCATGATAATTATTAGGGGACTAGCAAAGTATTAGAAAATTACAGCCAGATTCTCAACTATTGAAAGGTATATTGTGTTTAGATTCTAAAGAATAAAAATGTTCTGAAATAGTAGCAAATCCTTCAGTGAACAGCTAGCACTTCATCCTCCGCCACTCAACACTGATTCACAATTAATGGGGTATGGATTAGAGATATCAAGTGAGGACAACAAATTGCGCTTTAAAAGTTAACCCCTTCAGGGAATTCTCAAAGTTGGTCATTTAATAATAATCCTTGCATTTGATATAGCGCTTTTCAAGTCTTCTAGACGTCTTAAAGCGCTTCACAGAATAGACTGTAAAATGAATTGACTTTTTATTTGTGGCAAAATGCGGCAGCCAATTGCGCACAGCAGTGTCCAAAGAGTCGTGGATTGAAATGGCCAATTTATTATTCGTTTTTTTGAGGGATTATTAGCAGGTATGTAGAGCTAGAGCTACTGAGCTGGTGGACTCCATGATTTGTTCTTTTTTCTTCCCCTTACTCCTCCCTCTCATGTTGATGCAGGCACGCAAAGAGAGAAAAGAAAAGCAACCAGTGTTTCAGCTCCTGTTCGCTATTCGGTGTGGAAAGGTACACATGTATGCATATCAGACAAGTTGCTAAGACTTGCCATAATTCTTCCCACCTGGCTCATCTAGTCATTCAGGGTTATCAGCAAAGTGCTCGAAGGAGAATGGTATTCATGTACTGGTCCACCAGCAAAGCTAATCCTTTCAGGAAATGGTACTTTATGTAGATAAATAATTAACACATAAATTTGATTTTGCACATTATCACATATCACAGTCTATGATTACTTTGAAGCGTAGTGACTGCCATATATATTGAATTGGAAATGGACAAATTATGGTTCATTAAGACTCAAACAGTGCACATGACAGTACCCTATATTTCCATTTGGAAAAGTAACAGCAAATCAATCCCTCAATTTGGTTAATATCTGATGAAGCACTTTTCCTCTTCCCTCCTCCTTGCAATTAAGAGCAAATTCACTAATGCAAGTAATGCAAATTAGTCAAGATTCAGAAACCAAATTGAATCAATTCAAACGGGTCACGCAAAGGACAGCCAGCTTTACAAAACCCGCCTATGTTAGTTGAATGGAAAGCTTAATAACGTTTCAATCACTCACACACAAAATGAAATATGTAGATATATATATATATAGTTCAAGCAGACATTAAAAATCCCATGGCACATTTGAAACGAGAAGAGAGTTTTCCCCAATGTGCTGGCCAACAATCTCCCAAATAACTCACTGCAAATTTGCTGCCCATATTTGTCTACAAAATACAGACCCTACGTACTACAGCAATCCCTGTGAGGCACTTCAAAAAATCATCCCAACGTGACAAGGCCCTGTATCAAATGGGAGGTTTATTTTTGTGAATCCTTTTCTACTTGAAGTGAGTCATCGCTGGCAGCTGAAATCTTTACAATGTGAATTACTGAAGAAGGCAACACCACCTGCAATGAGACTATAAGCAAACAGCTGAGGTACAGTGTTCACACTGAAAAGTCTTCCCATTACCCCTCCCCCTCTTACCCTCCACACTTCCACCGCTCCCTCCCTCTCTCTCTCTCTCTCTCTCCCCCTCCACAATCCCAAAGTAAAACTGGTCACTCACTCCGAGGCTGTTTGTGGGACACTGCTATGTGCAAATTGACTGCCATATTCACCCGCAAACCGCACAGTCACTTCACTCAACAAAATATCCCTGAAGCTCTTGGGAAACGCGTCAACAACATCACAACAAATTACAGCGTACGGTGCAGCACCTTTCAGGGCATCCCGAGCCGCTGGAGAATTAAGGAGTTGGCACCTGAGCTGAGGGTTGAAATCAAGAGATAAGTGTCTGTATCAAACACAGGAGCCATTATGATATCCCCCGCCCCCCCCTCTCTCCCCCCATCCTCCCCCCCACCCCCAGGCACAGAGCCGGGCCTGAAGCCGCCCCCACACCGCGCAAACTCGCACACCCACCCGCGGGGTCCGGATATGCTCCATCCCGAGAGACGGCAGCCGAGCTCGAGCCGCGGAGAGCGCGTGTGGCGACGGCAGCCCGACCCGAGACCTCCAAACACAGCGGCGGCGGCGGCTTCACCCTCCGCGCTCCCTCCTCCGTGTCCGCATTACTTCACTCTGACAGCTCCCTCCCCCGCGCTCCGCCCTCCACAAACAGCGCCCCCCTTGGAGGCAATGGCCGCTCCTCATAATTGCACCTTCGCTTCTCCAATGGTCACAGACTCCCTGGAGCCAAGCAATTTACATATAATAATAATAATAATCCTTCCATTTGATATAGCGCTTTTCACGTCGGGAGGACGTCCCAAAGCGCTTCACAGAACACACTGTAAAGTGAATTGACTGTATATTTAGTGGGCGAACGCACAGCAATGTCCCACAAACAGTCGTAGATTGAAAATGACCAATTTATTATTGTTTTTGGAGGGATTATTATTAGGTGTGTGGAGTTAGGAAACTTGCCCAAGGTTTCGCCCTGTGCCTGGAATTGAACTCAGGTCTCTCACTTGCAAAGCGAGTGCTCTAACCACTGAGCTACAGAACTCCACTCCAATAAGAGACATAAAAACAGTAGGCTATTCAGCCCCTCGAGTCTGTTCCACCGTTTTCTAAGATTATGGCTGATCTATACCTCAAATATTTATCTAATTTATTATTATATTAATAATAATCCTTGCATTTGATATCATCACATCTTTGAGACATCTCAAAGCGCTTCACAGAATATACTGTAAAGTGAATTGACTGTATAATAATAATATAAAATAATATAATGTATAATAATAATATAAAATATGTATGTATATTTTGTGGGCAAAACACAGCAGCCAATTGCGCTCAACATTGGCCCACAAACAGTCGTGGATTCAGTGACCAAACTATTATTTAATACTACATACCAGAGTCAGGTGAATTTCTCCCCATTAATGTGCTAGCCGTGCCTCCTCTAAGGCGTCTCTTTAGTGGATTCCTAGGTGGATGAAATGCTCCCAGTTTTGAAAGTGGCTCTGGAGAAGTGACTAAGTGTGACTGTGCAAAGCATCTGTATTACCATCACCACATAGTCATTAGCCTGGAGCGTATCTGTGATTTTTGTCATTTGATATGTGAATCATTACCCCCGGAAAAGCGATCTGCCAATCGACTAACAACCAGGTTCCTACTTACTGCTAGGTAAACAGAGGCGTGGAGTAACAAAACTTGCCCAACATTTGCTTAGCCAGGAATCAAACCCAGGTCTCTCACTTGTGAGGCGAGTGCTCTAACCACTGAGCTACAGGACTTATTGCATTTGATATAGTGCCTTAAAGTGCTTCACAGAATATACTGGCAATATATGTGGGTATTTTGTGGGCGAAATATAATTTAGCAAAATTTAAGTCAGGAGTCTCCACAATGTTGCTTGCGGAGGTGGGGGAAATCTGAAGGGGACAAGGCACTGTTGTGGGCTTTAAAGAACACTTAGGTCAAACAAGACTCCAAGATACTGTACTGGTTTGGGGAGGTGGAGTGTGCATCCATGAATGGTGATGCTTGTCAGTGCCTGATGTGAAGAGGCGCTGACAGGAGACAAGCAGGAGAGGTTCTGTGTCTTATCAACATTCAACTGCGGAAAGTTAACTCTCATCCAGGACTTGATGTCTGACAGACAACCCGTCAGGTTGGTCCAGGAATCAAGGATAGAGGCAGAGAGATAGACAAAACGCAAAATACTGCAGATGTTGGAAATCTGAAACAAAAACAGAAGCCGCTGGGTACACTCAGCAGGTCAGACAGCATCTAAGGAGAAAGGAAAGTGAGTCAACATGAACATCTATGGAGAAAGGAAAGTGACTCACCTCCCCCCTTCCCCTCTTCTGTGACCATTACCACATCATCTGGGTCCCAGACACATCTTTTCTCTTTCTGGTCTGCCTGTTTTGTTGCAATTTTTCCCTCCTTTTGTTTTGCATTATAGACACCTCTATTCCCCAGTTTTGTTGCAATTCTCCCCTTTGTTTTGCATTATTAACATCTCTTTAATCCATCATCCCCTGTCCTCTACCCCATTTTCTCCTTCTTTCGCCCACAAAAAATGCAGTCAATTCACTTCACAGTATATTCTGTGAAGCGCTTTGAGACGTCTAGAAGACGTGAAAAGCGCTATATCAAATTCAAGGATTATTATTATTATTATTGTCTTCCTTGCCCTGCCACCTACCTCTCTGTTAGCCCTTAAAAGCCTCTCCCTCCCAACACGCCCCAATTCTGACGAAGGGTCGGGTTCCGAATCATAGACTCACTTTCCTTTCTCCATAGATGCTCCCTGACCTGCTGAGTGCAGATGGAGTCAGATGTCAGCTGCCTACATGTGGAAGTTAATTTCATGCCTGCGGATGGTATCACCGAGCGGGCGCACGTAAATATTAAAGAGAGGTCCAAGGATAAAGCCCTGAGGAACACTGCATATGATGATGTGGGGGCTAGAGAAGCTGTTGGCAGATGTAAAGTGGAGATGATGGGAAGGGTATGAATAGAAAAGGAAAGGATAGAACAGTGAAGGGTGGAACTGAGAGGAAAGGCAGCAGAGAAGAATAGAACGGTTGATGATGTTGAAGGGGGCAGAGATCAAGGACAAGGAGACAGGCAGAGATCAAGCAGGCAGAGAGAGCCCTGGTCACGGATGGACAGAATGTCATTTGTGACTTTGATTAGGGCAGGCTCTGCAGTGTGAGCAGCACAGGATCTCGATTAGAGGGAGTGTAGGGAATGCCAGGATAAAGCGAAGCTCGGAAGCAACCAACTCGTTTCAGGACCTTGCAAAGAGAGGTTGGAGATGGGACGGTAATTAGGGAACAGAGATGGTTCAAGGAAAGGTTTTTTGAGGATGGGGGTGATGACAGCTGTTTTTTAAGGGGCTGGGAGCTGTGCCAGTGGACAAAGAGAGATTGACAATGTCTGTTACCAGGGGGGCAAGCAACTGGAGCTGGGAGGTCAGGAGAGGAGTAGGGATAAGTTTGAGATCAGGTGGTAGGCTTTATTAACTTTACATTTGTATAGCGCCTTTCACGTCGGGAGGACGTCCCAAGGTGCTGGACAGACAGAGTTACGGACCCGAGCTGAGGGTCGGGGTGGGAGAGGGTCGAGGGCAGGGAGGGAAGCAGAGAGATCGAAAGCACAGTCGAAGAGGAGGGTCTTGAAGGTATCAAGGGAGGGGAACATCCCAATGCTCATAACTATTATAATACATAATCCTTAATCACCCCCATCTCTGACAATGCAGCACTAAATTGGTTAATGCTTTTATTTGTTTGCACCGTTGCGTTTAGACTGCCATGATTTTGCCATAAACAGAGCTCGTGTTTTGACTGCATTTGTAGGCAATTTGTGCACCGCAATGTTCCACAAACAGCAACATAATGAATATGGGATTTATCATTTATCTGAGGGATTGTTGGTCAGGACACCGGAAGAAACTCCCAAAGTACTGCACTGCCATATTAAAGGTATGTTCTGCGGTGTTATTTGGAACACAAAATGGGTGTTTTAATGAACAGAGTATCATTGAGATGGGGAACTGCATCCATGTAGTTACATTTGCTTTTGATACACTAACCTGACAAAATGCTCCAGCATCAATAAAATAACACCGGTTGACATCTGCTGTTACAATACCGTACAATACAAATTTACATAGTACCTTTTATATTGGGAGGACGTCCCAAAGCATTTAACAATACAGGTTGGGCCCAAGCTACGGGTGGGAACTGAGGCAGACAGAAAGTTAGTCTGCAGGTGCAGCAACAACAACAACAACAAGATTCCATTTATAAAGCGCCTTTCACGTCAGGAGGACGTCCCAAGGCGCTGCACAGTTGGGTCATGACCCGAGCAGGGGGGGAAATGGTCAGGGTGAGGGGAGGGAAGGGAGGGAGCGAGGAGGGGGAAGAGAGTCGAGAGGGGAGCTGAAGGCTCGCAAGCAATTAGGAAGGCGAACGGTATGTTAGCATTTATTGTGAAACGATTAGAGTAGGGAAGTCTTGCTGCAAATGTATAGGGCCCTGGTGAGACCATACCTGGAATACTGTGTGCAGTTTTGATTGCCTTGGAGGGGGTGCAGTGTAGATTTACCAGGTTAGTACTAGGGATGAAGGGGATGAGTTACGAGGATAGGCTGACCAATTTGGGCCTATATTCACTAGAATATAGAAGAATTAGATGGGATCTTATAGAAACCTATAAGATCATCAAAGGGCATGATAGAGTAGATAGTGGGAGATTGTTTCCCCTGGTTGGAGAAACTAAAACCAGGGGTCAACAACCTTAAAATCAGAGGTCAGCCCTTTCACGCTGAGTTGAGGAAGAACTTCTTCACTCAAAAGGTGGTGAATGTATGGAACTCACTACCCCAAAGGGCTGTTGATGCTCAGTCCTTGAACATATTCATGACTGAGATAGATAGATAGATTTCTTATTGCAAAAGGGATTAAGGGATATGGGGATAAGGCAGGGTCAGGTTATTAGCTGGAGTTAGATTAGAAGATCAGCCATGATTGAATGGCGGGGCAGGCTCGAAGGGCCGAATGGCCTACTCTTGCTCCTACGCTATGTTGTTATGTGGGGATTCGTAAGATGACTTAAAGTGTGATCAGAGGTAATAATAATCCTCGCTTTCGATATTGCACCTTACCAAGTCCTCGAGACATCTGAAAGCGCTTCACACCGTAAAGTGGAATGACCGCGTATTTTGCAATCCCGGCCTTTTACGTCAGGTGGACGGACGTCCCAAAGCGCTTCAGGGGGATTCACTGCAAAGTGAGGTGACGGCGCGCGTTTGTGCGGAAGGAAGGAATGCCTCGAGACGAACGTCCCGAATGAAGTGGGAGGGCGGGCGCCAGAAGAAGGGTCTGGGAGGAAGCTGCCAGGAACCAGGGGGGGGGGCCATCCAGCATCGTGTGGCCACTGCAGTGCGGAGTGGGGGAGGGGTGGGGGGGGAACGACACGACTTGCTCCGCAAGGCGCGTGCGCGGGCTCTGTGACTCGGTCCTCCCCGGTGACCCCCCCCCCACGGGGAGCGATCCCTCCAGTATCCCAGCAGCCTCCAAGCCCGGACCGGAAGTGTCGGGGAGGAGTCCGCGCGCCAAGTGGTAGTGGCGGTTGGGTGGTGGGGGGGAGAGAAGCGAGCGAACGCGGCGCGAGTTAAATTCCTGTCACCGTCACGTCAGTCGCCTCGCGCCGCTCACCCGCCGCGTGTAAACAAGCGATGGTCTCCGCCTCACGCGGCCTCGCGCGCTGACTCACTCACTCGCTCACACACACACACACACACACCGTCGGCGAGGCCTTCGCCGCTCGAGCGCTGCGTTGCGCTGCAGCCCCGGAGGAAACCGCCACAACTGCCCCCCCTCCCGTCAGCACAGCTTTCACCCCCTCACTCCGGAAACATCCCCCGAACCCTCCCTCCAACCCCCCCCCCCACACACACACACAACAGCAGCAGCAGCAAACCTCCCGCTTCACCTCGGCCTATAAACCAGAGCAGCCGTTATGACCTCGGGGTTCGGCTTCGGTACCCAAGCCGTGGGCCCCACCGGCGGCTTCACCCTCGGAGCTCCCAGGTACTCGGTCTCTGTTGTTTCTGCCCGTCGTAGCTTTCGGGGCTCTTGTTGATTCCGATTAAACTTCTCCGCCTCTCCTTCGCCTGCCATTCGCCTTATAGACCTGTTGTTATCGGTGGGGGGTGGGAATGGGTTAGTTTCGCTATTTTGCGCGAAACTTGTTCGGGGAAAGCGCCACGTGGGTTTGACATTGTCCTTCAAAACCCCCACTGTGTTTCAACGAAAAGTCTTACTTGTGCTTTATTGGTCTTGTTCCTGAACCGCAATGCGGACGGGGTAGGGGTAGGGAGCCATGTTATACTTGAATTTATAATGCGCTTTATACAGCACTTTTCCTGACATCCCAAAGCTATTTACGCTGCTGCCCGGGCACGTTAGCCCGGCTGGGGAGCTGAGGAGGGTGGGAGGCAAAAATGGCTCGAAGCTCAAGTCAAAAGAGTTAATGAATTCGATTCTCGTCCACGATTTAAAAGTGCAAGATCAAAACGGTTTGATTTATGAAGCGCTCGTAGAAGTGGGGGAAGATTTTACGTGCCCTCCGATGCAGTATGTGTTTCGGGTAATATTCATATGGGAAAGGGTGGGACGCCTTAAAAGTTTGACCTGGCATTCCATATAATGGAAGAGGATGCAGGCCTTGACGGTCACTAGTTTCCTCTTCAGAAGTCTAAGTAACAGTATTGTCATTGAAATGGAACCAGGGACCTTCATCGGTTGGATACGCACTATAACGTCCAGAACTAACCTCTGATGCTACAGCTAAAAGGTCATAAAGGCAATGATGATGGGCATTGAACAGGAGGAGGGGGTTCTGGGATGGGGCGAGGCTGCAAAGAGATTTGTAAGTGAGAATGAGGGTCTTGAATTTGATCTCTGCTGGGGATGGGGAGCCAGTGAAGCCAAGCGAGGATGGGGGTGATAGGCATGCAGAGCTCGCTGCAGGGGAGGACGTGGGCTGCAGAGTTCTGAATAGTCTGCAACTTGTTTAAGTAAGACTTGGGGAGTCTGGTGAGCAGGATGATGGCACATAAAAGCCTAATCGTGATGAAAATGCAATTTATATTCTTCATTAACATTTTTAGATTTGTTGTACAAATGTGTTTTCATACATTCTTTAGTTTGCATTATTAAAATAAACAGGAAACCTTGCATTTGTATGTATGGCAATTTTCCTCATATAAAAAAACTAGCTGTACCCGTTGCAGCTATGCGCGCAACCAGTTTAATTCAATTGGCCTTCTCTCTTTCCCCTGGCATTTTTATTTGTCCTTGAAAGGCTTGATCTTCGCTTCGTAGGCAACTTTATCTGTTAAGATTAAGAAAATGTGCTATTGAACGCATTAGCATCCCTTGTTCACATATTTGCACACATATCCTTTTTGGAGGACTCCTGGTTGGGAGAACTCCTGAGACATTTTGTCTTTATTAGTATCCTGTTGGGAGGACTCAGTGGGGGGGGGACACCTGTGGGAGAACTCTCACACGCACATACATATACACAGACATTTCAGCTATATAGATGTATCTCTCTAGAAGGCTGTGTGACCTCTGTTGCTACTTTGTTGCAGAATACTATGCATACTTTTTGAGGGCTTAGTGAAACCATTCTTTAAAAAGGCTCAACAGTAGGAGGTCTCTGAAAAAAAATATGCCCGTGACACTCCCCAATACAAGATCTTTCCAATGGCATATAAATCATGTCTCTATGTCAATCGGTTATTGAGTTCTTGGCAGACACACATTACGTCTTTATTATCTTTAGTATAGAAGTTGTGGTATTGGTGGTAGCATTAATAAGCCATTAAGGTGAGCTTTCTTTACGAGTTTGAAGTAATGTACTCAACATGGTAACTTATATAAGTCTGTTAGAGCAGTAAAGTAGTAGATGCATTAATATTGTAAAGTGTGCAGAACTTTCATTCCAAATAAATGGGTGGGGTAAAGTCTGAAAGTGTAGATTGTACATATTCTTGGAAGGAGTGAATTTGATGGGTGACATAGTCATTCTTATTCAATGTTTTGCTAATTTCAGTTGTCTACGTTATGGAAAAATAGTGTTAAATGGAATTAAACTGTGGGAAGCTCCTTTGTGCTGATTATAAGGTTGAAATATAGGAGTTCAAATGATGTGTAGTTTATGAAAAAAAATAGCTACTGACCATTTCAGTTTATGGTGAATTCCTTGTTTACCAACAAAAGAGCAAGACTAACAGCTTCATTTATGCATGACTTAGGTGATTATACAATTTATAAAGATAATAATAATCCTTGCATTTGATATAGTGCCTTATCATGTCGTTGAGCTGTCTCAAAGTGCTTCACAGAATAGATTGTCAAGTGAATTGACTATGTTGTGAGCGAAAGATAAGACTTGTGCAAGTTTTACTGTATTGAACAAATTTCTATTTATTAGTATTCCTGTGTTGTATGTGTGTTGTATTATCTACACTTTTGATTTGTTTATGAATAAATAGTAATAATCCTTGCATTTAATATAGCACCTTATCATATTACAGACTGATTGGGTTTATCATCGCAAGTAATTCACTCTTGTGTTTTGTTATAGCAACCCGGCTGGTACTGGAGGATTTAGCTTTGGAAATCCTGGTGCCACAGTTCCAACCACAGCAGCATCAACTTTTGGAGGCCTAGGAAGTGGACTGTTTGGGCAGAAACAAACGACTGGATTTTCATTTGGAGCTGCGGGTGCAGGTAGAGCTCCTATGTTCATTGTGAATTATTGTTTGGGCAACATGTATGCATATCCTTTCAGATAAGGATAATTAGAAGGTTAGTAGTGCACTACCACACAACAGAGGAAGTGTAGCATTGTTGGTGATGCTGTTAAATTGAAGTCCTATCTGTCTGGCCTGGTGGTTGATAGTCTTGTGTTATTATATAGGAACAAGGAGAAAGTATTTAAGCCACTGGTAATTTGTCATTGGCATTTTATTAGTTCGTGGCAGCTCTTTACTTTTCTCATCGCATTATCTTTTTTTTTCTCCGTTGCTTAATACCTTTAATTCTCATGTACTCTCCCTTCTAAACACCTCAATTAACTGTGCATCTACGGCCTTCCTTTCTGGGCATCATATTGCACCATTCTTCATGTAGAAAAGTGTTTTCTGAATTAATGTTTAACTGGCTTAAACTCCAGTGTTAGGTTTGTTCAGGTGGACATTAAATATCTCATGCCACTATTTAAAAAGTTAAAGAAGTTTCTTCCAATGTCATGGCCAACAATCCATCAGATATAAATTAGTCATCCACTTCATAGGTGTTTGACCACTCCATCCTCTTACACTGCCTCTCCTCTTTACTTAACCTTCGCGGACCTTCCCTTGCCTGGTTCGATTACTATCTTTCTCACCGTCTCCACTTTGTTGCCTCTAACGGTTTCTCCTCCAGCCCCCGCACTGTCACATCTGGCGTCCCTCCAGGGCTCTGTCCTTGGTCCTCTCCTCTTTAATATCTGCATGCTCCTCCTTGGTGACATCATCCGCAGACATGAGGTCAACTTCCATATGTATGTGGATGACACCCAACTCTATCTTTCTGCCTCCACCCTCAACTCCAGGACCACTGCTGTTCTGACAGACTGCCTGTCGGACTTCAAGTCCTGGATGAGGGCATATTTCCTACAGTTGAATGTGACCAAGACTGAGGCCCTACTGATTGGCTCGGGCCAGAGCCTCTGCACCTCAGGTTCTGGCAGCATCAACCTCCATGGTTGCACACTACAACTCACCAAGCCGGTCAGGAACCTAGGCGTCTTGTTTGACCCTCAACTGTCTTCTTCCCCACATCCAAGCCATGACCCGTTCTGCCTTCCCTCAACTTTGCCACTACCTCACCCCTCAGGCCGCTGAAACTCTTGTTCATGCCTTCGTCACCTCCAGGTTCGACTATACAAACGCCCTGCTTGTCGACCTTCCCAACTCCTCCCTCCACAGGCTGCAGATAATCCAGAACTCTGCAGCCCGTGTCCTCTCCCGCACCAAACTCCGTGACCCCATCTCCCCCATTCTCGCCCGACTCCATTGGCTCCCTATCCTTCAGAGGATCCAGGTCAAGATCCTGGTCCTCACATACAAAGCCCTCCATGGCCTCGCCCCACCCTACCTCTGCGACCTCCTAACCCCCTACCAACCCGTCCGCTCAGCCGGCTCTGACCTGCTCCACGTCCCCCGACCCACCTGCCCCACCATTGGTGGGAGAGCCTTCAGCTACTCTGCCTCCAACCTCTGGAATTCCATCCCCCAGTCACTCCGCCTCGCCCCCTCCTTAGCCTCCTTCACGTCCTGCCGCAAGATCCTCCTCTTTGACCATGCCATCAACCACACCTCCCCTTCTCCCCCCCCCCCCCGACCCCAGCTCGGGTCTGAAATGCTGTCCTCTGTCCAGCGCCTTGGGACGTCCTCCCGACGTGAAAGGTGCTATACAAATGTAATGTTGTTGAGTTTGCCTACAAACACAATACAAATTTATATTAATATCGTGCCTTTCACTTTGTCGTTACTACACTTAAAAGTAAATTCAGTGAAGCGTTTTGTGACGCCCTCCCAATGTAAAGGTGCTGTATCAAATGTAAGGATTATTGTTATTCAGATAGGTGTAAAAGATCGCACAACACTGCCAATTAGGCTAAGCTGATATGTCGGTGTGAGCCTAGCTCAGTTGCCTCCCAAGTCAAAAGGTTAACAGCAACTTGCACCTATATTATTTTGTTTTTTATTGGACAACAGATCAATGGAGGTATGTTTCAAGTTTTCTAACATGAAGGGGATAGATTTTTAACTTGGGCTGCGAGTTCAGAACGGAAGGATAAAAACAGAATGATAACGGAGAGTGCAAAATTGAATATTTATATTTGGAAATAATAAATATTTTAATAAATAAATAAAATAGTTTGAGTTAATGTTGTTATAAGGAAACTTGTCAGTTGTCAATTAAACTTAACTTTTTTCCCAATGCAGCACATGCTGAATGAATTTGCGTATTAAGTTTTTCCTAAGGTGATGGTTAACTGGTCTTCTGTTTAATAGCTTTTTTTCCCCTTGAGTTACAGGAACTACAACAGCAGTCCCTACAGGATTAACATTGGGTAAGTCTACAAAAGTAGCAATGCATTTTGATAAATGGAATCTGTAATGTTATTCTGTTAGATTTGCAATTTGGATATTCTATTACAGAAGCTTTCATCTGATGCATTCCAACAATTTGCTTCTGTGTGTTTTGTTCGTATGAATCTTTAATCTCTGCAGTACCAGTGATTTATATAGTAAGATTAAGTTCTGACCTTATTCGATTTCTCTTGCAGGAACTCCTACAACTGCAGCTGCAACTGGTTTTAGTTTAGGATTCAACAAACCAGCTGGCTCTGCAACACCTTTTGCTGTGCCTGTTGCATCCAGTGGGGGTCTATGCCTTCCTTCTGCAACAACTGCTATAACAGGTAAACATGCTTGATCATAGTGTTACTTGTATGAGCAAGATTCCAGTAATAGTAAGATATATTTTTAGTTGTGTAATATTTATTTTCTTGTGTCCGTTTCGTTAAAGATTTTAATACTTTCCCCTCTTACCACGGGCATCAGACTAGTCATACACGTGTCTACTTTTGGAAATTTAAACTTTATATATAAAGAAGATAAAATTAGTCATTCACTTCACGGCTGCAAACGAACTGCTGCATTCGCCTACAAAATAGTCACTACGCTGTACTGTACAGTGAATCATGTGAAGTGCTTTATGATGTCTCGATGATGGCATAAGGCACTATATCAAATGCAATACAAGTATAATTTTATGCTAGTTTTTCTCAGATAAATATTTTATCAATAAAGACAAATCTTTATAGTGAGGGGAGTGGCTGAACCAGATTTTGACCTTTTGCAATGGGAGTGGGCTTTGTTGACTTCTATGATTTGCAAAATTTGTTATGATTGTTCAAGTACTAGCATATTTTTGCCACTACTCAATTGGGTACTTGACAATGCAAACTTTTTTGCAACAGAAGTATATATCCTGATGGTTGATCCAGAGAGGGGCATAAGACTGAGATTGTAAAACCTGTTGACAAACATATGGGAACCAAAGAGTTAATATTCTGAATTGTTTAGAGTAGAATAAATTATCACAATAAGCCAGGAATTCTGAATATAGTGAAGTGCCCTCAGTGGCTGTAACTAAGATCTGTAAACTATGCATTGGACAGGGTTATAAACCTGATATTTTTCTTATTTATGTTTCTCAATCATGTCACAGATTGCATTTGTCTACTGAATTATTGAATGATCAAAGAGCTTTAATATTGTATTGAACAATTTATTTTTTGACCATTTTTCTCAAATTCCGATTCTTATAATTCTCTGACTAGGTCCTACAGGATTTACGTTAAATTTAGGCGGTGGGTCTACGTCCACCACATCCGCACCAACAGGCCTAACTCTGGGAGGAGTTCTGGGTGGTTTGACTGGCTCTCTCTTTCAGGGTACAAGTGCAACCACAACAGGTCAGTATTTGAACAGACTTCATCATCCTCTGGAACTCCACCCCACAGTCCTTCTGCCTCACCCCCTCCCTTGCCTCCTTCAAGACCCGTTCTCAAGATCCTCCTCTTCGACCGTGCCTTAGATCATGCTCATACCCTTCCCCACCCTCCGTTTCTCCTGATCCCAACCATCAGCTCGAGTGTGAATCCCTGACTGTCCAGCGCCTTGGGATGTTTGTGAAAGGCGCTATGCAAATGTAATTGGTTATTGTTGTTGAATGATCATCAAGGAAGCTGTACACTCCTTATAAGTTGTAACAAATAAAATTAAAGCTTAAGATAAGAATTTATATTAAAAACCTTTCCTAGAATACTTCAGGTGTCAGCCTGGCTGTACGTGAGTTGGTTGCTGCATTCGCCTTCTAAATATACCGTCACTAAACTTTAGAGTAATTTTTGTGAAGCACCTTGAGACATCCTCCAAAATTGAAAGGCACTATATCAAATGCAACTATTATTATTTTTACCAATCACATATAGACCCAAATGTATTTTTGAGCATCAAACAAATATACATGATTTGATTTCTTATACACACACTTCATTGGAGGGCGGTCTGTGTTATTGTCACTGACATTAATTGGTGGTATTCTTTAAAACCTAAAAAACCCAAAACTGTAAAATTGAATATGTATTTGCAAAGTGTTTTAATTGCTAATTTAATTGTTTATTGTTGTGCACTTTCTTCCAGAGAATAAGCAGAGTTCCATTAAATTTAGTATTTGTTGATTATCAGTATCTGTTTTGCATAGTGACTGTAGAGAAGTGAACTAATTCTAGTTCAAAAGATCTCCCTTGAGAAAAGCAGATTGTTGCTAATGAATTGTTTCCTATGTAGTCTTTTCAGTCTTAATTTTTTCTGAGCCTATTTTCATTTTGATTTACCATATACTGTCTGAAAAATATTAAATGAAGTCAATGTTGGTCTTCAAGTGCAAATATTTAAAATCATTAGTTAAAAAAGCTTTGATGATAGCTTGATTTCTTTTTGAATTAGCTCTAGGGCAGTCACTTGGCTTGAATCTTGGGATGCCTATTATTGCCCCAACTTCTACAGCAAGTGAAGGACTCGGTGGAATAGATTTCAGTGGGTCTTCAGACAAGAAGAGTGAGTATCATGTTTTAAGTGCAGCCGGCTCACTCGTTGTATGTCCCTTTGTGTTGTATGGATTTTGTTCAGCAGTAAGTAGGAACCAAGATGTTAGCGGATCGCTTTCTGGAGCTAATAATCCCTTCAAAAAAATAAAATCCATGACTATGGGACACTGCTGTGCACAACTGGTTGCCTTCCCTGATTTATTGTAATTTTCGGCCACAAAATATAGTCAAATCACTTTGCAGTAAATGTGCGAAGTGCTTTGAGGCGTTTCGATGATGTGATAAGGTGATATATCAAATACGAGGATTATTATTGCTGTGTGCAAAATTGGCTGCTTAGTTTGCACACAGATAGACACTATACTTCACAGTAACATCCTTTGAAGTCGCTCGATGTCTCAATAACACAAGAAGGTGCTATATCAAATGCTATTATTACTATAAGATTGCATTATAAGATTGTAAATATTAGAACTTTCTGATCAATGATGCTTTCCTAGTTTTCAGTTGAACTAACCATGTTTGAGGAAATAGAAATTGAGGTGTCTTTCTCTTTTATTCTGTACTGTTGTCATTGTTTATTCATTTTATGATTGTGAAGACATTAATGATTTGTGTTTGCATGTTACAGATGATAGATGTTCAGTTGGAGTCAGGCCTGAGTAAGTATTTCTGCCTTTCTGGAAGATAAAAATGTATAACTGTACTGTTCAGCTTATTAAAAATCAGAACTGCAGCACCTTATGATGGCTTAGTGAGTTTAATCAGAAACTACCTGAGCCACACAGATGGGAGGTTTAAATCTTGTGCTGAGTTAGTTGATGTCAATCAGTAGTATGCGTGCTACAGTTTGGTTCAGTGTTGGGCATGGAAGAATTGGTCAGGGATCCCACTCCTAAGGTTAGAATATTTAATTCTAAATAAATAGACTCTCTCGATTCTACCCCCTCCTCGCTCCCTCCCTTCCCTCCCCTCACCTTGACTATTTCCCCCCAATGCTCGGGTCCTGACCCAACTGTACAGCGCCTTGGGACGTCCTCCCGACGTGAAAGGCGCTCTATAAATGGAATCTTGTTGTTGTTAATATTCCTCCGCTTTGCTCTCTTCCTTCCTTCGGAGCCAGCTTCCCCTCTCCCCAGCTTGGGCTCTTGAGTCCATTGCATGAAGTAGTTTGAGACGTCCCCCTGACATGAAATACACTATATAAGTGTAAGTTGTTGTATAACAACATACTGTCTGGCAATTGTACTGGTGTGGTATCTTTCTTGCGGGTTTCTCCTGATGTCCTGGCCAACAATCCCCCAAATAAAATTGGTTTTGTTTCATGGCTGTTTGTGGGAAAGGACAGTAAATCCTGTGAAGCGCTTTGGGACATCCTCCCAATGTAAAAGGTGTTATACCAAATGGAAGGATTGTTATTCTAATAGTTGCAAGTCAGAAAAATACCTGCCTTAAAGAAACTGATTTGATTGTGGCCTTGTCCTGGTTGTGAAAGTATTTTTATGCCTTCATGTCTGCAGACTACTGCAATAAGGAACCATAAAATATTGTCAGTGTATAATTCAAATGTTTCTGTTAGTCTTCACTCAAATAAAAAAAACCTTCTGTTGCAATATCTAACACTTCAGTCCTTTTTGTTTTGCAGTGATAGCAAAGCACTTAAGGATGAAAATCTGCCACCTGTTATATGCCAAGACGTGGATAACTTTCAGTGAGTTTGGCAGGTTTGATCTGCAAGCAATCATTGAGTTGCTACTTCACCATGCATTAAAGTGTAAAGACCTATATTTTTTTTTACATTTTCTTCCACAGGAAGTTTGTAAAAGAACAAAAGCAGGTGCAGGAAGAGATCAGCCGAATGTCCTTTAAAGCCATGTTGAAAGTACAAGAAGATATTAAAGCACTGAAACAATTGTTAACGGTGGTTGCAAGTGGACTGCAGAGAGATTCACTTGCCATCGATAAACTCAAAATAGAATCTGCACAGGTAAATCAATGTCTTCTTACGTTTGACATGTATAAGGCTATTTTTTAAAAAACAAATAGGGTTTATCCACAAATCCCTATCCATTGTCAATTCCTGCCCTGCCTTCAAAATTCTCTTAAAACCTAAAAGATTGCCCACCAATGGTGGGCTGGAGAAATCAAGCAGATTCGCTGAATGGAGGGAGCAACAAACTGCAACCCTACCTCCCTGGCTATTCAGTGAACAACAGCTTGTTTCATGCCTCCCGCTTCACCATTGGTTTGCACGCTTTCAGCTATTTTGCCCACGCTATCTGGAATATGCCTCGTCCCCTTCCTCCTCACTTAAAGCCACCTTAATTTTTTTATGACTGCAATCACTTTTTCCTCAGCTCAGGCTCCCAATCACCTGTGAAACACTTTGAGACTTGAGACGCCTTCCCAGTATGAAAAGTGCTATTTAAATGTAAAATTATTGTTGTAATTTCTGACAAATCCGTATTATTAAAAGAAGTCACTATAGGAACAACTGGAGCTGTATTATGAATTATAACAAAAGTAATCTTGTGTCTTTTTTAAAAAAAGTTGTCTTTAAACTCAGTAAAAAAAAATTAATTTTGCTTTCAGGAGCTGAAAAATGCTGAAATAGCACTCAGAACACAAAAAACTCCACCTGGTCTTCAGCATGAAAATACAGCACCAGCAGAGTAAGTTTGACCATTTTCTTTGTATAAAATGTATTTCTGAGCATTTAACTAATGAACAGTTGTAAAGTTAGTACAGTGAAATGAGCATTTGTTAAAGAACCTGAATGTAGGAGGAATCTTTCACCAAGAGGCTTGTTGGGATGTGGAATGTCCAGCTGAGTAGGCTGATGGTGTCCATTGGAACTTCTGTAGGTATATGAAAGGGGTTTGAAAGCGTATAAGCCATAGCAGTGGAATTTAATTGATTTTGTTCTGTGAGCCGGTGTGGACTCAATGGGCCAAATGGCTTCATTCTGTGCTGCAGATTTATGTTTCTAAGTTCTGTGCCCTCAACGATCCCAAATTAGTAAGTCCTTGCATTTTGATGCACAGTATCAAAAACTGATTTGCTATCTTAAGTTTTTAAAAATATATATTATTGCTTCTATTCAAATATGGCTGTTATTTTGCTTTTGACAGGAGTTGTATGTTCCTGCTTGTTGCTAGACCCATTTTCAAAGCCGGAATAGTACAGTAACATATGATGAGATACTGTTTGTCATTCTGGTTGTTTACAATTTTGGTCTTAAATGTTAGGAGACTAACTTGGGCACCATGATAGATTACCTCTTGATAGATTAATGTAAAAATAAAACGATTTCTTAGTTTCCCTACTGGCTCAGTTGCTAAAACTACTACTGAGTATGAACACCTAAGCCAGATGTCCTTGGGATTGATCCCCACCTGAGTTAACTTCTACAATTGGGTTCTCTGTCCGTTGATTTGGGAGGGGTGAAAATTGTTACCTATCATGTGCATATCCAGTGCCTTGGGACCGACGTGAAAGGCGCTATACAAATGTAATTTGTTATTGTTGCATGAAAATGCTCCAGGCATACTAGTGATTGATATTTTGTGTAAATTATTTTGGCAGCTATTTCAGACTGTTGGTTGAACAGTTTGAGGTGCAGTTACAGCAATATCGACAACAAATCGAGGAATTAGAAAATCATCTAGCCATTCAGGCTAACAGCTCTCATATGACTCCACAAGGTTTGTTCAAAAAAAATTAGCTTCATTGTTTTGCAATACAGGGCAACATATTTTGTGCTGATGTGCTATGCTGTGAAGTAGGGGAGCACTTGTGACTTACCCTATTTAATGGGTTAAGATCTCACTAGGGCTGCTTCTGAGGGGGAAGGAGAAAGAGTGGTAAGACACTTGTCTCCTCATAGTTGAGGTCAGGTTTGGTCCACTCCTAGATGAGACCTGGCATAGATCTGTGGTAAGGAGAGGGAATTAACATAACAAGAATATTTGTGCAATGCAGCATTTGCACACTTAAGAATAACTTCTCAGCCATCACTGGTTCTGTCATTGATTACATGATTTTAAATAAGTTACATTGTTGGAGGAGAGCAATTCGTTAACACAAATGGGTACTTGCCAACAGCATGCGTGGAGCCCTGTAGCTTAGTGGTTAGAGCGCTCGCCTCGTAAGACAGACCTACCTAGGTTCGATTCCCGGCAGGGTGAAAAGTTGGGCAAGTTTCCTTACTCCACACGCCTCTGTTTACCTAGCGGAGAGTAGAACCTGGTTGTCAGTCAATTGGCAGATCGCTTTTCCGAGGGTAATAATTCGTTTTTTAAAAATAACAATCTGGTCACTCAATCCACGACTGTTTGTGGGACGCTGCTGTGCACAATTGGCTGCCGTGTTTTGCCCACAAAATCTACAGTCAATTTACGTTACAGTATATTGTGTGAAGTGCTTTGAGACATCTCAAAGATGTGGTAAGGTGCTATATCAAATGCAAGTATTATTATTCCTCATCTGTGTTTGAAATTTTCTAAAAATCTGTTTCTGTGGCTTTCACACCTGAACATTGCAGAAGATGTCCGGTGGAGGGGGAGAGATGTTCTATCTTGATCAAGTTTGTATGTGCTTTGCGAAAGGAGCAGGCTTGATGGGCCAAATTATCTTTCTTGTTCCTTGTAATTCATATCACATGCTTATAAAAGTGAGGAATGTCCAAGTTGGGGAATAGCAGATTCTTTCCATTTTGTCACTTGGATTGAGCACTCATAGTCATTGCGCACTTCAGATACAGAGCAAACAAGTTTCCTTTACTCTTTCAAACATGCCCCAACCTCAAAAAGAGTACAAGCTGCACCAATTTGAATTTTTTTCTGTCCACCAGTTTTCTTTAAAAGTGTGCGTATAAGAAAGGTGAATGATAATACTCAATCATGTATCTAGGAGACTACTAATAGATTTCAGCTGTCAGTAGAGGTCTACAAAATATGATTAAACCATGATGATTGAATGGGAAATGTGGAAAGAATGAGGGAGGTGGCCAAATTGTTTTCACATTTGTAAATACTGCATGTTTCCTGAATTTAATTGGTATAATTTTCAATATGAGTAAACTATGTTGAGATGAACAGGTTGGTGCATTATAGTTGGTATTACTGATAGATCTCGTAAGTTGAAATTTTTATGTGAGGAATTTTTATGACATGCTTGTTAAATCACTGGGTTCATATTAAAGGATTTCTGAGAAAATTCTAATATCTGCAATACTGCAAAAAAGTAGGTTAAAACTGTATTAGATATTGTGCAATTTTGAGTTCAGTTGTGATGCTAGTCTTATTGAATAGGCTGCTGTTACTTACTGCTTAGGCTCAAATGTGTCAAATGGAAAAATAGTCATTTTGGGTTAATTATCTTTGTTATTCCTACAGACTTGTCTCTTGCAATGCAGAAAGTGTATCAGACATTTGTAGCCTTGGCTGCTCAGCTCCAGTCCATACACGAAAGTGCAAAGGTACGAATTTCCAACTTCTTTATTAATATTTGAGTGTTTTGTGAAAAGCTTTAAAATGTACATATTACTGTTTTGAAGACATTGGATTGATTTGAAGAACTCCATAATATTTTTGAATAATAGAAATAAATGTGCGGATGTAGTGTTGAAATTCATGGATTTTTTTTTCTTCAGATTCTAAGAGAACAGTATCTTGGCTATCGGAAAATCTTCCTTGGAGATGCTACTGATGTCTTTGAAGCACGGCGTGCTGAAACAAAGAAGTGGCAAAGTGCTCCACGGGTTACAACTGGACCAACCCCATTCAGCATACCAAATGCAGCAGCAGTTGCCATGGCTGCAACACTAACCCAGCAGCAACAGCCTGCTACAGGTCTGAATGTCTTCAAGTTATAAATGAGTAATGTTGAGACACGTATCTGGGTAAAATGGGTCATGCTATTGTAAACAATATAGCAACCAATATATTTACTGTGCTTTTTTGTCTTCCTGAATACATCTCCATGGTCTTAACTGCTGGATTAGAAAGCAACTAAGACTTTCTTGTACTTTTTTGTAATTTTTTTTAACTGATAGTGATAATTTCTGATACCTGCATATAATAAACTATTAACTCATGGTTATGCAGGGTATACTAAGCAATAATCCCAAAGCTGCAAAATGCCTAATTTTGTAAATTGGTGTTTACACTATCTTGGAAAATGTGAAGTGACTTTTTATACTGTAATAGTGACTGTAAACAGAGTTTAGTACAAAGTATCTTGTGAGAACTAAGTTAAGAATTGGATCAGGAGATGAAATTACTGATGAACTTCAGCAATTAAATATTTATTAGGATTTTTATGTTTTTGTTTTAAAAAAAATCTTCAAAATAATATTTAATGGAGGACTAAATCGTGAATTTAGCACGTGTTTATAGTCTGGAGTTAGTTTTGGAGCAGGTGTGCACAAACCAGTCCAATATCACTAAATGAACAAACCACCTTGACTATCTTACTTTGCACCATATATCTGAGGTACTTTTTCCTTGCATTTCCATATTACTCTGCCTATGTGTTGTTTAATGAGTGCAATGCATGGATTTATGCTCATCATTCCCCATAATGTGCTCCTGAACACTTTTGTACTTATCAAGTAGAGACAATATAGTTTTCTTTAGGAAGATGTATTGAGGGCTGGGTCATTTCAAGCAGCTCAAGTTACTGTTACTTGAGAGCAATTTGTGTGTTCCTTTTGATGAGAGAATGGCAATGGGCGGAAGAGGAGGTTAAGGTGCTTCTCAGCAAAGAATATTTGACATGTCACAGATACTACTCTAGAGGTACAACATTAGATTAGCATGTTCTAACGTATAGATTTGTGGTTCTTAGCATGTAGTTTTCAGAGATTTTCAGAGGAAATGAAGTACAGTACCTTCTGTATATATTGTATAAAGATTTGACCCTATAGTTCACAGCTAGCGAGCTTTGCAGTGGTATTGGTAATACACGGTATGCAAGCATGCTAAATTTATAAAAGAAAGGAGTTATTTGCTCAGTATTAACATGCTGCAGTTTTCTTGTTTTGCACCATAGTGAATTGTGAATTTGCCTTGATATGTAATACAACAAAGTTTTTATAATGCAAGTGATTGAATTTACTAATCTTAGCTAGATCCTTTTTCATCTTCATACAATATTAAATATTTATTAACTTGATTATGAGCTCTCCCCAAGTAAAATTGTTAGGTTAGTATATGTGATAAATAAAAATGAAGGACCTGTTTGAAGAGAACTTTTTAAAAATTACTACAAAGTATTGTTAACTAAAGCTAATAATACATATTTAAAGTTATTAGAACCTGGTAAGATATTCACAAAATGAGGCATCTAGAATATATGCAGGTAAGTTTGATGCACTTTTCACGTGCTATATTTTGTCTCTAAATTACAGTAAGTTTAACAACTCTGCTTTCTGATGAAGCAGTAATAAAACAAATATTCTAGTGAAGGGGGAAATGTGCTTCTTGGACAAAAATAATGCACTTTTGCCCAGCACTGTAATATTAAACACTACCGTTACAATTTTAGTTTATGCAAATGTATACGATGCCACCGTTGCCTTCCGTATAACATTAGATTACGACACTAATTTGATTCTGAAATTGGTCTGTGTAAACTATACCTATCAATACAATCTGCAACATTGACATGTAAAACCACTTTGTGCATCTGACTGACTCGTTGTTCTTCAAAATCTTCACATAATTCAAAGAGGCAGTGTCCGTTTTCTTGACCTAAAATGGCTGAAGTTTGAAATAATGGCATGTAGCTTGAAAGTAATTTAAAATAAGTTACCTACAATTAATTTACTTGAATTATCTTTTTCTTTAATGTTTCAACAGACTGTGCATTATTAAGATACTATAGTAGTTAGAACAAGAAGTCACTTTTTTTAAATTTGAGTTTGCAAAACCTGGTGATTTGGAATGCATATAATATTTTAAGTAATATATTTTTGAAAGCCATAGTTTTTTTTACGAAAATGCCTATGAATTATTTTTAAAAAGTTTTGAAATCGAGCCTGAATATTATGGAACATTATGTGCCAAAATAGGCACACAGAATGATACTGTCTCTTTGCACTTAATGATCTTGATCCATTTGCTTAGGTGTTTCTCTGGCTTTTCTTTATAGGTTAGATTATTCTAATTCTCTACACTTTCTCAAATCTTTTGGGACTGACATTTTTCTTCCAGAATATTTAGAGTACAAAAGCAATATCATTGTGTACTACTCTTGAACAGGACAAAATAAGAGATGTGGTTGAACTGTGAAAGTGTGGATGTGTTGAACTTGCATTTGGTGTGTAAATTCAGTGGTGCCTTTTTCAAACTGCACACAAAAAGAAAATTTGCTTCTGGTTTGTAATTACCTTTGGAATTTGGATGATGTGGATGGTTTTTTTCCCCTCTATCTATAAAGGTTGCCTAACATCAAACTGTAGTGCACTAAAGTTGAGATAATAGCAGTCATGATTTCTAAACTGAAAAGTACTTTGTTATGTTGCCATGTAATTGAGATGTTTCAAAACTAAACAATAAATTGAGAAGTGAAAGATCTTATTGTCTTGTTTCATTATGTATTTTTATTCTTAAAAAAATGATTCACAGTTGCAGAGTAATGCATGTGCACAATATATCTATACCTTAAGAACTGCAAAGAATCTAAACTATCTTGATTAAGAAAAAAATTGGAAAATTATGAGTTTGTGCTGATAATTCAGAGTAGTTTTTAAAGTATTTTCTATCATCATTTTATGAAAATACAGAAAGAAGTAAGAACTGGTCTTTCAGAGAACAAAACACATTAATGTGATTCAATCCGTGCATACTTTAAAATGCAGTAAGTGAATTGGTTTTTAGTAGGAAAAATGCAAATTTAAACTTTAAATACTTAATCTGCTTTTCATATGTATGAGTTTAACCTCCCTTGGCTTTGTTTCTAAATGATACTATCTTTCTAACGTCTTGAGGCTGAATGTTTCTGTTCATTTTGATCCATTGCATCAAAACAAGCAGAATCTTAGTTATAATCAAGAATAAAACTTCTGAGAGTAAGGCAAATTTTCTGATTTTTCTGTACTAGGACCACAGACAACTCTGGGAGTTAATTTTGGAGCACCATTCGGCTCAGGTATTGGCACAAGTTTGCAGTCAAGTGGCTTAGGTTCATCAACCCTTGGAGGTACCATTTTTAAACTATTTTAATGCACAAGTTTCTATGTTAATGCTTTTTAAATGTTAGTTTTAAAATGCACGATTAAAGTCACCACAGAAACAGATGTAGATTAGAAAGTGATGCAGCTGGTATTTTGTTTTAAAAGATTTTTTTAAAAATCTGCACGTTCCAAATTAAACATTATAACATTTTTAATCCTCTGCTCATTTCAAGTGAAACTGAACTCGTGCTTAATTGCTTAACTTTGATTAAGATCTGGTGAACAGTCATCCTCCTCCTCACACATTGAGTTCCTAGATTTAGCGATCAGGTATACAAAAAACAGTGGGTCTGTCATATACAGTCAGGTCCTGATAACTCATGACTCCAATGGGAAAGGGCTTAAAACATCTCGAGTGGTTAGTTAGGCAAAAGTCTCCTGCGCCACAAGGAGGCGCTGTGACTGCGGGCGCTTGGCGGAGATTGGGCGGGAATGCTCAGATGCGTCGCAGAGGTCTCTGATCGGTTGGAGGGTCGTATCATGGCCTTCTACCCAATCCTGTTACAGGATAGAGTGGGAGACAGGGCAGAAGGATTCTGGGATGCACAACCTCTGCCCAGCACTCATAACAGTCACAGGATGAGGCGAGAAGCCTCTGGGATGCAAGATGCCATCTTATAGGGAAGGTATCTGAAGTAAGTACTTACAAAAATGCGACCAGTTTAAGCAGAGGTCTGCTTACCCAAGCAGAGGGACAAGCAAAGCAGAATCTCTTATCAACATTTTGTATGGCAAGCAGCCGGGATATTGACAGCATATCAGTGGTAGTGGCACGACAATGGTGGTGACAAGTTAAGTTAGGGTCTTGTTATAAGGAGTTTACTGTAGTCACATCTTTAAAACAAAAACAAATCATAACTATTGAGGTTTTCAGCAAACATGAACCCGTGATGTTTCTCTTGTTGTTATAGTCCTGTAGCTCAGTAGTTCGAGGACTTGCCTCACAAGCAAGAGACCTAAGTTCTATTCCTGACTGGGTGAAATGTTGGGCAAGTTTCTTTACGCCACATGCCTCTGTTCACCTAGCAGTAAGCAGGAACCCGTTTGTTAGTCAATTGGCGGATTACTTTTCCGGGGATGATAATCCCTCAAAAAAACAACAAAATGGAAAACAATAATTTGGTCACTCATTCCACGACTGTTTGTGGGACACTGCTGTGCGCAATTGGCTGCCATGTTTCACCCACAAATATACAGTCAATTCACTTAACAGTATATTTTGTGAAGTGCTTTGAGATGTCTAGAAGACATGAAAAGCGCTAAATCAAATACAAGGATTATCATTATTATGATTATTCATGTGAATCAATGAACAATTCGGCCCTGCAGTTTTTTTTTAAAAAAGGGAGATATTCAGGAAACTTGTGTTTCCCCTCCTTTTTCCCCCTCCTCCCCCTTACCTATTTGCCTACTTAAGGTCCAGGTGATTCTAAAAGTACATGCATCATTTGTTTTCCAAAGAATATAGACGTGTGATCTCAAAAATTATGTTTATAAATTAATTTCATCAAATACTAAATTTGTAGAAATTGTTTATTTTTGAAGCAGCTCTCCTCATTTTCTCATTAATTGGATGGTATGTGCAAAATCAGCTTAAGCTGATGTAAGTAGCTGAATAACAAAGTTAGTCCGTGGCTCTTGCCAATCTCTTTCCTTGTACTTTCCTTTGATATTCTTTGAAAATCTGTATCCATTTTATTTTAATATGGTCTCAGCTATAATAGCCCCATGCAAAGCCTCCATATTCCAATTGCTCTCTATGTGAAAAAGATTATTTTAAACTCCCCCTTAACTCTTCCCAAATTAATTCTGCTGATTAACAATTTACCAACTAACAGGAATAATCTTCCACTGTTCTCCGCTCAAAACTTCAATATTCTAATTTCAGTTCCAACTTCAGTGTAAATCTCAATGTTTCAAGCCTTTCCTAACTATAAGCTATAAACCCTACCCATGTCCCGGTCAGCAGTAGTTAATATAACTTTTTAAGTTATTTCACTGCTTGATGTAAAATTACAAGGTTCATGATATTTGGAGTACAAAATTGATAGATTCTACACATATGCTCCCATTTCAAAGAAAAATATGTACAATGAGAACTTGTCTTTTGTGAATTAACCTGCCGAATGTTTAGATATACTTTACCTTGCAGAAAGGGGTAAATGCATGGAAGCCACATACATTTCTATTGTCAGTCTTCAAATTTTATTCCATTATACTTGTGACACTTTCTTTTTGCAGTGATTTGCACAATTATTTCTTTAATTCAATTGAATTTTGCTTTGAAGAAATTGGGGAGATGATTAGCTTGATTACAGTGAGGATTACAAATGAATGTTAACGGCTCCTTTAACTGCAGCAGAAATGAGCCACAAATGTAAATTAAACACAGTTTGAAGTCATGTCTGTACAAGGAGAGGCTAAAAGGATAAAGTAAAAGCATGGTATGGAATGCCACTTGAAAGCCAAACTAGCAATGAAACTTATTCAAACTGTGCCCGGAAATATTTGTAGCATCCATCCCAGTATCCTCATTCAATTGCCAAAAAAAAGTGGAGCAATTAATAACAAAAAGTCCGTTCAACTCTCTTGGCTCATTATTTAGGCTGGTTATTGAATCCATTGTAACAATGAAACCCTAAGTTCCAAATAATTATATTTGGTAAAGCTATCCCATTTCACTTTAAAATTGCTAGAAATTCTGACTTAACGTCAGTGATAATTTACCAAGTAGGTGTCATTTCTTCAGTTACAATTGAATATTGGCCAGCTTCATTCATTTGGTCAATGCATTAACAATGGAAAAATACATGACTGAATTGCATACTGCGTTCTGTTGTTCTCATGAGGTACTAATTGTATGTTTAGCAATATACAGAGGAAGAATTTTAGTGCATTGTCCTGAGAGCCAGTGCAGACTCACTCAATGAGCCAAATTGCCTCCTGTGCTGTAAATTGCTGATTCCCATGGGGGAAAACAACCAAAAAATAAAATAATATCAAATATAATTGAAAAAGCAAGGAAGGGGTGAGCTTAAAAAAACGTTTACTTGTCTAGAAATCTTATTTGGTGTGGGGCGGGAAGAGAGGGTTCAACCGTCTCTGGCGTTATCCTTAAAATGGGAACGTTGCATATCATTGAGCACTGGCTTTGTACTTGAAACCTATGGAATGAAAATGAGGGTAACTGGAAGAGTGTAAACCTGAAATTTGTGAAGGAGGAAATGTATGCAGTTCTTTTTCCTTTCTCTCTCTTCCCTCCCCCCCCTCCCCCCCCCCCCACACACACATCATACATCCCAGAGCAACTACTGAGCTTTTATTTTTCTAAAAAAAAGTAGGCCAAATGAGGAGAATACAAATTGCCCTTATGTGGTGTAATTAGGCAGTTTGGGGAAAACCCCAAACATGGCTATCAGTTGTGACTGGAATTCAGATGCCTGTCTTAATCTTGTTCAGTAGTACAGCATTGTATCCCTCTCAAGTGCTTTAAAACATTTGATCCATTCCTAATGTCTTGACTGATACACAAATATGGCTTTTCTTCCTTTTGAGCAAATGCATTCCCAGTTTCATGTAGAATATTATTTTTGGAACTGTAGAAATGTTTACTGAGCCTATAAAGCAAAGAGATTCCCATTTTTAGCTTTGTATACTTCTCACTAAATGTTGTGGATGGCATTTTGTACTGTGTATCTCATGAAGTTCCATACAATTGTGTGCATCTGTAGTATTTGATTTTGACTTGTGATTATTGGAGTATTGAATGAAAACAAACTCATCAAGTTTTAATAGAATTTTGAGAAGTATCATTGCTCGCTCTCCTTTCCTTCACTTCGCCTGCACCGACCACTACCTTTCCTTACAGGCTGCTGAGACCCTCATCCACACCTTCATCACATCCATGCTTTATTCCTCAAATACCCTGCTCGCTGGACTCCCCAGTCGCTCCCTATACAAGCTGTAGACCATCCAGAATTCTAGAGCCCACCAGGCACCACAAGCCCTTCCCCCCCGCCCTGTTATTGCTTGGTTACATTGGTTCCTTATCACTGGCAATTCTTCAAGATTCTTGTCACATTCAAATACCTCCATAGCCTTGCTCTAGTTTCCCTCTGCATTCCGACTATCCCAGACACTGTCCACTCCACAAATACAAGCCTGCTTCTCAATCCCATGTTTGTTCTCAATCCCTTGCCCCATCTTTGGTGAGTGAGCTTTCAGCCACCACTCCCTGGAACTCTGGAACTCTATTTTATACCTTCCCTTATTGCCTTCAAAATCCACCTTAAGATCTGTTGTTGTCACTGTGTTCCCAATTGGTGAATTTGTTCTTGTTATTGTGAAGTAATATGTGTCAAAAAAGTTATGTGAAAGAAAATCTTAAGTGTGCAGTACTTATTCTTGTAGGAATTGGAAATACTTGTGCCTTTGGAAGTAACCCTTCAGGCGCCGGCTCATTTGGATTCGGATCAGCCTCAAAACCCTCGGGAAGCCTCAGTGCAGGTTTGTCTCTAATTTTGTCTGTCTGTGCTCTGCTTTGGGTTTGATGGTCAAGGGTACAGAAATAATTTATACTGTTGGCACTGAAATTCACAACAGTGGTCTGCGATTGTATTCATAAACAAAAATAAGGGAGGGAGAGAAATAAAAAATGTTTTGCAGCCAAAAATGTATAAAATTGCCTTACAGACAACGATTTAAATTGGGGTTCTTGGATGGAGGGAGGGAAAAATAAGTAGATTTTACATCAAGATACATGTACAATAGTAATCTTTTTAACAAGTGCACAAAGTACTCTGCTTGGCCACCTACCACATACTGATAAATGGTCAAAACTAAACAATTGTTTAATTTGAAGTACAGTCAAACCTGTTCAAGCAACCACCTCCATTCAGCAGCAATCCTTTGCTGACCATTACTCAGAGGCCACCCTCATAGAAAGGCGATTTTGGCCCAGTCCCCTGAGAGGTTGTTGAAGACAGGTTTTATTCCTCCCTCCTAAAGTGCCAATATGACATTGGTAGTCAAACAGAAGTAGCCCGTGGGCCATCAAAAAGTGCCCTCCCCTTCCCCCCCACCACCACCACCAAACGTTCCTACAAGTCTAGGTAAGTCTGTGTTCAATTAATCATTACGCTTCCAGGATCTTCTTGATTGATAGAAATATTGAATCAAGAACATTTATTTTGTTGTCCATCCAACCAAAAAGATTGGCCACTACTGCTGTATGATTCACTGATCTGGCCCCACCAATAGTAAGTACAATTATGGTGGTCCATGTCATGGAAATCATTGGAAAGGACACAGAATAGGGCAAATAGCTGGAATTAAGTACCTGAATTACAATGAGGAGCTGGGAATGCTCACACTGTAGAAGAGAAAGCTCACAGGAGATCTTATTGGAGATCCTAATAAGTATAGATAAACTGAATCCTAATGTTTAACATGCTCAAACAAGGAGATACTGAATTCAACTCAGATGAGGGAAAGTGAACAGACAGATTTAATAAATGCTTTGCAGAGTGGTAAATGTGGAATAAACTACGCAGGGATGTTGTGGATGTAGATTGTTTGCAAATCTAAGAGAATTAAATTATTAATTGGTGACATAATTAATTATAAAAGTTTTTTTTAAATTTGAGGGTGGATTTTTTTACTTTGCGGGTAAACTGGAATCGATAGTTAAATGGTGATGTTCAGTTTGTAATATATGGTGGAAAAAGAGGGATTTCCTCCTTTTTGTTTCTATACAGTCTGTGCAACATTTCCTGGGATACAACTCGACTTGATTTTCCCCCCAAAATTTTTTTTTTGTAATATAGGTACTTGACAGGATTATTGTTATTACTAAGATTTTTTTACAATAATATTAATCTTTGCATTTGATATAGCACCTTATCAAGTCTTCGAGATGTCTCAAAGCACTTCACAGAATAATAATAATAATCCTCGCATTTGATATAGCGCTTTTCACGTCAGGAGGACGTCCCAAAGCGCTTCACAGAACACACTGTAAAGTGAATTGACTGTATATTTTGTGGGTGAAACGCAGCAGCCAATTGCATTTGGTGCACATCTTACTGACATTTTTTTGGCATATTACTCTTGCATGTACAGTTGATTTGGATTTTGCAACAAGTTGGCTTTTTCTTGTTTCCTTGGCTTTTTTCAGTGGTTAACTTTCTTCCACCAGAATCAAAGCTATCATCTGAGAATGTTCAACCCTAGTGTACTGGCAGTACAGTATACTGGCAGAGAAACATTCTAAAATCAGCTTTTTGTGTCAGGCATTCAATAATTATAAATTTTGTAACAACAACTTGCATTTATAGAGCACCCCTCATGCAGGGTGACTTCCCAGAGTGCTTGACAATGGTGTAGCACGACGCTGAGCCATGGGGAGGGGGAGTTGACTGTAGGCACAGTCGAAGAGGAAGGTCTTCAGGCGTGAACTGAAGATGGGGAAGGAAGAGGCAAGGCGGAGGGATAGAGAAAATGTGTTCCAGAGTTTTGGGGCTTAGTGGCTGAAAGTGCGGCCACCAATGATGGAACGGGGGCATGAGAGATATGCAGAAGGCTGGATCCAGACGAGGGGAGGCAGAGGGTTGTGGGTTGGAGGGTAAGCAGGTCGGAGAGTTAGAAAGGTGTACATATGCTAGCATAGCTTGTATCTAAAAACTTGTGCATTTTCAGTTTGCTTGAGATTTTCAGACTTTGCATTTGCTAAATTATCCATTGTTTGAGATGATATTAACTGATATCTGCATTGAATCTGAATGCAATGGAAGTAGGAAAGTCCACCTCTTATTTTTAAATGATTGTTTTTAAAACTGTCTGTACCTCTCTTAATTGTATCTGTCATGGTAAGGTATGACTAAAACATTTGGGGTATTCAGATAAGTGACCTGTTATTTATTCACAATAACAACAACAACTTGCACTTATATAGCTCCCTCCATACAGGGTAGAGTCTCAGGACGCTTTACAGTGGTGGAGCCTGACTCCGAGTTGGGGGGGAGGTGGTCGTAAGCACAGTCGAAGATGAAGGTTTTCAGGCAGGACTTGAAAAGGCAGAGAAAAGGGGCAAGGCGGAGGGATTGAGGGAGAGTTAAATCTTATTCCAGCTTTTTTATTACATTGCCGTGTACAGGATTTGTTAAACTTGTTATCGTATTTTCTGTATTGTGTTTAAAGCTTGAACCAATGATGCCAGATAAACATAACTGTGTTTTGCAGTCAATTTGTAAGTTTTCTTAACTATTTCTGAGACAGGAGCTTATTCATCTTCATTGTGCTTCTCTTTGATATTTTGGTGCGTTTAATAGTTTGCACAACACAAAAAGTTACTAAACCTGATGATATTGACTTCAGCAAACTGCTCATAGAGTCTACATTCCTTTTTTTTGTGCAAGGCTTTGGCAGCTCAAGTACATCTGGATTTAACTTCAATAATCCCGGGATCACAGCAACTGCTGGCCTGACCTTTGGTGTGTCCAATCCTTCCTCGGGCTTTGGCAGTAATCTAGGGGGACAACTTCTACAACTGAAGAAACCTCCAGCTGGAAACAAGCGAGGCAAAAGATAGGGAATGACATCCAAGTAGGGAGGGGAGCCGAAGCTTTTCTTAAATTGGGCATGACTGATGTTTATATGTCTGAAATATGTTTTTTAATAGTTGCAGGTTTAAAAAAGAATGACTTTGTATTACAGTAGTTGGGCTTTAATCAGAATTCTTCAGTTTCCAGAAGAGTTCCATTGTTGATAGTTTTCACAATTGAAGATTATATTTTTGAAAGTAAAGCAAGATGGATTATGTACCTAGATAATTTCGTAAGTACAAAAGAATATGCGGATAGTGTCTGTTTTCTACTTGGAATTAGTTATACAGCTTATTTAATAGCAGCTGCTACACAAGTGGATTTGATACCTGGGCATTGCAAATATTCACATAACTGAAAAATGGAAACTCGTTTGTACAAACTCAGTGACGTACATATTGTCTCAATATGCAAATTCACAATCATAGTCTTTAAGCATTGCACTTTTTTTATACAACAGGTACTGCCCGATATTTGTTTTTGTAGTAAGAAAAGTTAAGAGTGTCATACTTCTGGATGAGTTGTCGGGTACTTTGGATGAAAGCTTTAGTAGAGTTGACTTTAAGATATAGTTACTGTCTATTTTTGTAAAATTACTGAATAACCGAATACTGCTGTTGGATACCTTTGTTAGCAAGAGAGGAAGTTGTGTTGGTTGAGCTATTTGAACATAAGAGTTGGAATGTCATTTATGTCCTAAATCCATTGTATGTATGTTTTTGCATGAAGAGCTGCTTTGTGCACTGTTAGTCTTTAAGTCATTTTTAGTGACTTTTGGAAGAAATGTTTTTCTTTGTGAGTTAAAATTATTTATACATTTATTTCAAAATTGTGTAGTGGTATGTAATTGGCGACATGACAAAATGTATTTGAAGATTATTGTACTTTTTGGGTTAAATGGACACTCTAAGCTGTATTTGGAAACCAGTCAAATAAAATACCTTTCACAATTTTTGTCTTGCTGTGTTTTTCACAAAGCGTGCTGCTGAATCGAAGAATGTTATCGATACTGGCAGAGGACACAGTCATTTGTGCCACAACATCAAAGTGTACTTTTGAGAAATCACCTTGTCCACTGACCTTTCGAGTACTTGTTCAAGAAACAAAGCCACAGGTGCCTTCATGGGTGCTTGGTTACATGCAACTCTGAGCACTGTCTTACTCTCATTTAAGACTATTTCACCTTCTCAGCTGCAACATTCAAACATGACATGCAGACTTGGTTGTTGCAGTTAAAACACGGTTGCCCAGGATATTGAAATTGCCCAGGAAGAAACTGTTGACCTAAATGGTGAAGTATTGCTATGGAAACATGCTACACACACTTCTTGAGATTTCAATGCAAAATGCATGTAGCATAGGTACATATTCCACTACGACTACTTATTTTCTTATTGGAGAATTAACTCAACTGAGACATGGTAAAATATTAGTAATAATAATTTGCATTTATATAATGCCTGTCATGTAAAAATAAACTTTTCAAAGTGCTTTACAAAATAGAATTGATTAGAAATGAAAGGAATGTTATCGTCAGTACGTAGTTAATCTGTTCCACAAACTAGTGTAATTCCTGCATTTTTTAGCGACCTTCACGCAGGATAACATCTCGGTGCGATGCAAAGTGACTGGGTTGGACACCGAGCAAGAGAGCTAGATCAAAGAGGTAGATGTACAATTAAAGAATACAAAGAAAACTAAAGAAAGAAAATAAAATGAGGCAAATAATAATAATCTTTGCATTTGATATAGAGCATTATCACGTCTTTGAGACGTCTCAAAGTGCTTCAGAGAATACGCTGTGAAGTGAATTGACTGAATTTGGTGGGTGAAACGAGACAGCCAATTGCACCAGTGTCCCACAAACACTCGTGGATTGAGTGACCCAATTTATTATTATATTTTTTTGAAGGAATTATTACCCCCGGAAAAGCGATAAGTCAATCAACTAACAACTAGGTTCCTACATACTGCTAGGTAAACAGGTGTGTGAAGTAAGGAAACTTGCCCAACGTTTCGCTCTGGAATCTAACCGAGGTCTCGCTCGCGAAACAAGGGACTCTAGCCAGTGAGCTAATATTCACACATTGAGAGATTTAGTAGAAGTGAATCTATATAATTTCAAAATCACCCCTCCAGTAGTGATTTATAGAAAGTGGTGCTGAATGTAGATAGGAAATGTTACTCAAATGAAAAGAAAATCTGATTTTGATTAGGCTTTGGACTGCTATTATCAATTATAATACTTTAGGTATAATGCCTTTCATGTTGGGAGGATATCTCAAAACACTTCAAAGCATGTACTGTACATATACTGTTGATACAGTGCTTTATCACATTGTTGAAGTGTCTCAAAGCTCTTCCCGAGATTTACTGCAGAGACTATATTTGTAGGCAAACATCAATGCCCCGCCAACAGCCATGAAGTAAGTGAATGGCTAATCTTATTTGGGGGATTGTTGGCCAGGACACTAGTAGAAACTCCTCTTTTCGAACAGTGCCAAGGGATCTAACTTCCACCCAAACCAGCAGACTGGGCCTCGGTTTAACTGAAGGATGGCACCTGCAATAATGCAGCACTCCCATTATTATTTTTACCATTGGGATCTGTACCCGTTTTGTATCTTATCTGTCACTCATGGCAATATCACTAATACTGTTTGCCTTCTACATTAGTGTGTGTTGTAACACCTCGACCTTTGCATTTGATATTGTTCATTGACACTTGTCACCAAAGTGTAGCGCTGATGCACTCCAGAGATTGTCAATAACAGATTGTGGAGAGTAATGGCCAAGCTAATGGTGCTGGCAGAGTTGGTCTGTGACAGCAAGTGACAACCTCTACCAGCATTTGAACTTGTGCCTTTACATACTCTTCAGTCAGTGTGGTTACAGTTTAATATTGCCTCTTTTTCTCCTTTGAGATATCTGAAGGTAGAAGAGTTTTCTGCTATTTTCTTCCCTGCCTTCCAGAAGGTACTCATTCATTTTTCCTTCTACTGTGTTCCACAGAGAATGGTTGCCCTTCATTAATTAGCTCAAATAGTTGTTCTTCATCGATGAGCTTTGGCAGTGAGTTGTGGGCATATTTGCAGCTGAGCCCACTTCTCTTTGCACTCGATGTTTACACTTATGCAGCTCCCAGCAGCAGAGAAGCTGAGTCTAATTATAGCACTTCAACTCCTGTCTCAGCTGAGATCAACCAACGGCAAGTCTGGGATTTTCACTTGTCTTTCTGCCTCTGGTCAAGAGCTGCGTGGATTCTGGAGTGAAGTGGATTTTCACATGGATTCTGGTTCAAAAGCTCCTTTAAAAGGACAGACCATGTGATTTTATGCAGTTTGGTGTTGAAGATTAAAGGAATAAAATTTCAATACTAGGGGGTAATTGACGTTTGACACCCATGTCTTCAAATACTTCCAGAAGCAATAACCAGATTTGATTTTTCGTCAGTCGAGTGTCTGACATACAGAAAATATATAAAACCATCACCAGGCATAAGAATAATCAAACCAGAGTTCCACAAATGTATGCCACCTTCACATGGAAATTTCTCTACGTATGGAATGTTCACTCTCCCTCCGGAGGGATCTATCCTGCTTAAGTAAGACAGGACAGTATTTAGGCACAGCTTGGCAAGAGGCAAGGCTTTGGGACCCCAAATTGTCTGTTGGATTACTGCTGGAATCTAACCAGCTTAAAAAATGTGGTCATTGAGCAATAACAAATGAATAATTTGGTGTCCAGCAAGTGGCTTGGTCTGTAACAACTGGGAATTACTGGCTTCTACTTAATGATTATTTTTGCTGAAGATTAGGTCAAGGAGCTTACTAGATCAGTGTTTGTTGTCAGAAGAATGAAAGGAATGAGGAACTGTCAATATATTCATTAGTGTGTGCAAGATACACATGCAGGTGGGCAGATTGCTTCCATCCTTCTATGAAGCACTTTCCCTATTAGCTGAGAAGGTGTGTGACAGGTTGACATCCAATTCCAACAGGAAAATGGCTTCATTTTGATGCTGATGGTGCCTGAATTGAAACCGAGGCACACAACACCAACAAGCTTGTCAGCCGTGTGTAGATCAGCCAGTGCAGAGAGGTATGTGTTTTCAAAAGAGCTGATATGGCTGCGAAAATAAACCTAATGATTGTCTGTAAAACTGAAGCTGTGTGACAAATATAGCAAATGACCTGTTTGGTGAAGTTTCCTTTCACATTAAAGAGCATGAAGATCATAAGAGCTGGGGTTTAGAGGCTGATGGCACTCCATTCGCACAGTAAAGTGGCCATTAAAATATACAGTCGATCCACTTTACAGTATATTCTGTGAAGCGCTTTGAGACAGATGCTTTACAAGTATTGTTTGTAGAGTACCAGTAAATGGAAAGTGGCATATCAAAAGCTATGATCAAAACCTGTGAGAAAATAGTCAGGAAGATTCAACATTGGGGAAATAGATGATATTCACTCAGTGTGAGCTACATAAGGCAGTGACTCCATACAGAACCATGGCTGAGATTGGTAATTCAGTGTGCAGGCATCTTTCTCTGAGATACTCAGTTTCTTCCTGCTTTAACAAAGTAAAATGTGTTTTAATTGGAAAATGGAAAAGCAAATTCAATACAATATCTGTGTCATGATCCTGACACAAATCCTGTTTAGATAGACTGAAAGTCCAGTTAACAATTATAGCATTTTGAATAAAGCTAATTAAAAGCCTGTATCGTTATGACCAGCAAAATATATATTTGGATGTTAAATAGGTTGGATTAAAGCAATATGTTGCCTTAGTCAAGTGTCAGCACTTTCACCTCTGAGACACAAGGTACCTCTGAATTTTGAGCTCACAGTAGTGTTGGGGGAGTGCTGCATTGCTGGAGATGCTGTCTACATCAAATGCAAAGAATATTATTAATGTTATGTTATGGTCAGGAAAAGTGAAGGTCAGTGTGTACCTTGGGTTTTTGAGGAATGGTCACATGCATCATATGATGTGGCCAACAGAGGGAGATATTTCTCTGGCAATAATTGGATGGCGATGGGAAGTTATCTAATTGGAAGTGCCAAGCCTTTCAGTTCAAGTAATGATTTTTAATATAATTAAGAAAGACAAGAATGTTGCTTTAGTGTGTCAACTGGCCAAGATATTGCTATTATAGGTTTGCCACATGTATGCCTTAAATAACAAAATATTCAGATGCTCCACACATCTCCATGTATTTGTTGCAAAACAGAATATTGTTGATAAAGTAATAATAATTAATTTTATCTCTGTTTATAACAAACATGATTATTGTGCCAATGCTTTCAAATGTGTAAGTGTATTGGGGGGTGAATTGTCTTCCTTATTTTATGTAGTGTGGAAATTAAAGTAATAATTTTATTATGTTAGCCTTTATTATATATCAGGTGTCAGCCTGGCTCAGTTCATAGCACTCTTCCCTCTAAGTTAGAAGGTTGTGGATTCAAGCCTCACATTGGCACTTTGAGCTCATAGTCTTGGCTGACACTCCAGTGCAGTTTTGGGGAACGCTGCATTGTCAGAGGTACTGACATCCCTTTGGATGATACGTGAAACAATCTGCCTGTTCAGGTGAATATTAAAGATCCCATGGCACTATCCCTGTTGGGGGAAAGTAAACAGGCTCTACTTAGAGCTGAACTGGCTCCAAGGTGACATGTTTGGCAATGGAATATCAGAATCGAGTCAATCCTCTGTGGTGTTCTTGGTAATCCAGTTCCTGAGCCAGGCGGGTCTGCAGGACTCCAGGACACTGCTGATGACAGACCAGCTAACCTAGCTCATCAGTAGGACTTGGAGGGGCACACCAGTTGCTGGGGACAGGGATTCTTCGCACTCAGCTTCTGTTCACCCTGTGAGCCAAAGCCCTAATGCAAATTGGTTGCTTTGATTGCCTACAAGTACACATTCATTATGCTTTACAATC